TTGTCAAGTCTATTAGGCGTTTTTAAACCAAGGAGTAGACCTTTTCCAAAATAATTCTGCTTGAAATGCTGTTTCAGGTGACTGCCAGTTTGCATGTGTTTGTGTCCAGCTGCAAGTGTGTCGCATGTCACCTAAGCTCACAACTGCAAATTGTAATTAATTAACAATAAACAAAATGTAACGGGGGCACTATTGTGCAATATTCACTGCAAAAGGATTCAAGGATATAGTTGCAAACTTGCAAATTACATATTCAAAACAGTCGATAATCAATATGCATTTGTATCAGATGCAGACTAATGCTTAGTCTCTGAAAATATATAATTTTGAGCCACTATATTTAAATTGAATTGGAGCCCAAGTGACATGGGAGATTCAGACCTGTGGAAAATCTAGACTTGCTTCATTTGGGGCTAAAGCATTACAGTGTGGGTCGGGTGGAAGGGAAAATAATATGGTTCTGGGACTGTGAGACAGACTAGTAGCAGACAGTAAAAGGCTAAATAACTATCCTCTCTTTACCAGTGTATATATCAAACTTTAGTCCCTTTTCGTAGATTGGCATATCATTCATATGAACTTAGTAAAAAAATAAATTATTTTTGAATTTTAGTTGCAAATTCTTAACAAATACGAAGAATTGAGTGAGTGAGTGAGGTTTTACGCCGCTTTTAGCAATATTCCAGCAATATCACCGCGGGGGACACCAGAAATGGGCTTCACACATTGTACCCATGTCGGGAATCGAACCCGGGTCTTCGGCGTGACGAGCTAACGCTTTAACCACTAGGCTCCCCGACCGCCCCCAAATACGAAGAACTTGAGACAGGTGGAACCTATGCAAGTACCATGTTATGTCTTCACCCAACCTGTGAACAAGGATCTGTAAGGATCTGAGAGTACACAAGCTGAACAGGCTACATTGGGTAAATACACATGTTGTTATGCTATCAATTTTCAAAAATAAAATCATGCATATTGTTTTGTACACAAGCAACTCAAAATTAATTGGGGAATGGTTATTTATTTTTCATATTTTAAGCAAATATGCCACTTATCTGGAGCAGTAATATTACAAAATAATAACTTGTCTAGTCTGTCACAATACCAGACTGCAGACAAGGAATAGAGGCTATAATCATTCTAGAGATTTCCAACCTGACCAGATAGCATCTTTGCTGAGTGTCCAACACACTTTATAGTGATCTATACAATATTGATGAACCAATAATTGCTGTGTAGATTTTGATTTCCTACACCTGCAGCCACTGCCTTGATTGATGTGGACCAGTATATGACAGTGGCCATGGTATTAACCTGTCGAGATGGCTGTGTCGTTGTGGCAGCAAGTATGACGCGATGATGTTGAGTGTGCATCCATCCAATAATTACCTCCGCTCCAGAATACAGGTGACAAGATATAGCAAGATGACACTGTCAGGATGTGCTCAATCGCCACAGAACCATTATCAATATTGACGTTTCATTAAGCCCCCCCAGCTCAGCAGTGCCTGGGTTTCCTTCCCGTGATGAAGAAATCCTGTATTTTTACGCAAAAATCTTGACAAAATACTTGCCATTATATTTTCGTGGCATCACCATGAGTGCAATAAAAATGATATATTACTGATCATAAAGTTACTGGAATATGTTTCAGCCCTGATGGAATATAATCACAATTTCCTTTTGAAAACTACCAGGTAAAAACATCAAAATATGACATTGTGGAGGTGACTGAAATCCAATGCATTTCCCAATATTGATCTGGTAGGCAGTAGATGGCAGAGGACAGGGCTCATATAGACGTCACATTAACTACTTGCACACTGTTAATGTGATGACAATAAAATATATCTTGCAGGAACCTAGCCGATGTTCGGCCCCCAGTGCAGCAGATGTCAATCCAAATTTCCATTTCCTGTTGTAATAGTTATAGTCACTGTTAAGGCTTTGTACATTTAGAGTGAAGGTGACTTGCATTTACAGGCAAATGGTCCGATAGAAGGGAAGAGGCTATAATGCTTAGTTTTACATTATTTCATTCAGTGCCATGTTAAAGTACATCAAAATTATACCTCTGTATTAAACACTTTTAAGAAAACTGAATGTAAGAAAATCTCAATTTTTAGCAAATAGTGATTTTTTCCTAATTTGCCTGTCAATGTCAGCATGGTCATTAAATCTCAGTCTTAGTGTTTTGAGTTTTCAAGAAAAAAGACATGTATTAATAATTCTTCCTGATATGATCCAAAACAAAATATTGTAAGTTATTGATACTGTCTCATTTGAAAGTTGGTCTGTTTCTTGTTTAACACTGCACTCAGCAATATTCCAGTAACAGATATTCCAGTGACTGATATTCAGGGCTTGGCTTAGCTGTATAAAACATGCACCAGTGCAACCTATTATTGAAAAGTGCAACCTAATCTTTATGTCTACGTGCACCAAGTGCATGTAAAAAACCCAACATATTTGGGCCTGACTAATCCTTACTCTTGCAGTCTTTGAACACAAAGATTTATGTACCATACTACAACACTAATCCCTGTGACGAGTAATTTGTCCTGCTTTCTCAGGCTTGACGTCATCAAACTGTGGGCACTTCAAGATAATGTGCACATGTTCCTATCATGTTTTACAACAGTTCCGTAGATCGAGCCCTGATATTGTGAGCAACGATCCATGCTGTCTGGGTACGTTGACACACCGTCAACCAGGGCACAGGGTCTCTCCACATGATCCCTGAAGTCGCCTCTTGTGACAAGCATTATGTTGCTGGGGACAGATTCTAAGCCAGGATCTCCTGGGGCTCCTGGCTGAGTTTCCTCGTACAGTCAGCAATTCATGAGTTTGGGCTGGACTAACAAGTCTATGCATTGTCCAAAAAGAAATCCCATAACGCTTGTAAACTGCCGATGCAGGATTTGTAAAGCATGTGTACCATCTACATGCCGTCAACAGACATTTTCAAAATCATTTCATGTTTTTAACCAAAGTGCTCCTGTGATTTCATGCCCTTTCCAAAATAGAACCTGTGTTATTACAATACAGATCTTGATTATCAGATCGTCCTGACTGGGCACCACCATTTTGTTTGAAGCAAATGCCAGTGATGTGAGAGGTGAAATCTGATTGGTCAATAGGAGGAACATAGAAGGGACATAACTCATAACAGTCACCGGTGGTGATTCAGCCGAGCCCAGAAATTCCAGCCTAGTTCGGCAAGGGTAAAAACTAGACTTTTACAGTCAGTTAACTCCCTTGCCTTGGGAATATGGCAGCAATTGGGTGCTGAGGACACCACCCTCCCCAACCACGGTAACTGATGGGGGACAAGGATGACGACAATTAGGATATTTACATCACTGTATGAGTGCTGCAAAAGTATAACCATTAACATACTAAACAAGTATTGCCCAAATGTACAAAAATAGCCATGGTAACAATAATTACACTATGGCTATCATGGTTACAATATCACATATTGCATCAAGGGTGTGATAACAAAATGTAGAGTGAGTGGGGATGGTTTTATGCCAGTTTTAGCAATATTCCAGGAATATTACAGCCGGGGACACCAGAAATGGGCTTCACACATAGTACCCATGTTGGGAATCAAACCTGGGCCTTTGGCATGATGAGCGAACGCTTTCACCACTAGACTGATTCACCATGTAGAATGATAATGGCTCAATGAGAAGACATACTGCATCAAGGGTGTGGTAAAAAAATATGTCCAATGGTAATGAGAAGACATACTGCATCAAGGGTGTGATAAAAAAATATGTCCAATGGTAATGAGAAGACATACTGCATCAAGGGTGTAATAAAAAAATATGTCCAATGGTAATGAGAAGACATACTGCAACAAGGGTGTGATAAAAAAATATGTCCAATGGTAATGAGAAGACATACTGCATCAAGGGTGTGATAAAAAATATTTCCAATGGTAATCAGTACAGGTGTGATAAAAAATATGTCCAATGGTAATGAGTAGACATACTGCATCAAGAGTGACAATGGTAATGTGACCAAAATTTCCAAATTGCATCAAGGGTGTGATAATTTTGATAATGGATGGTAATCACTAGGGGTGATAATAGATACTAAAGTGTGACAATTAACACAAACTGCCCATTTCACTTGTGATTCAGACCTACCTCTACATGGAAATGTGAAAATGCTATTGATTTTCACCTCACAGGGGAAACATACACTGGTGCTTGGTCTTCGTGGACATGCATATTGATTGCAACGGATTTCTAAAGTAAGTGTGGTAGATATTTGTATGGTGTTCAGGTAGCAACAAATTATGTTATTCTAGAAATGTACAATTAACTGTCATGTCATATTTTCAGGGATTTACTGAGGATTCTAAACCAAGTGCCCTTGGCAAGCAAATTGGGAAAAATAATTATTTTAAAGTTCTAATTCCCTAATGTGAGAGAACTTTTATGTGTTTTCAAAAATAAATAAATTAAGTGTTACATAAATATGTGTGTGTGTGTGTGTGTGTGTGTGTGTGTGTGTGTTCTTTGTGGCAGCCTCTCGATTTACGCAACCTAATATTTATATCCATATGCACAATAACTGAAATGGAGGAATATAAGGACACATGGAAGAATTGGAATTATATGGATAATTACAATAATATTACAGAAATATATAATCAATATTAAGTATTCTCTTTATTGCTAGTCAATACACGTATCTTTAATATGATATTTGTAAAAACCTATAATCTTCACTCATGCAAAACAAGTAACATTCGACTGGTACAATTCAACTTCAAACCTTCGTGATCTAGAACTCCTTATTAACCTTTCTGTGATCTTGTTGCTTATCCTAAGTCTGCAATATTCCAAAGGTAGACAGACCTAGCCACCCCGTTCCGTCTGACAAGCAGTAAACGTGTGACGGCTGTACCGCTGTAGACGGGCGACACACCTGCACAGCGAGTTTCCAATATACTCGCAGTCGCACCTGTCGAAATATCTTACCTTAATTATCCAATTGACAGCCTGGTTCAATAGCACAGCAAAGTGACGTCGAAATACACAGTACCTGCAATATTATGATGTCCGCATGGTGTATGTGCCGTGACAAGCAACACTCAGTCCGTAATATCCTAGACTCCTTCAGCCAGTTTCGCATAGCATTCTGGCATCCATTTTGTCACTAAGGCGAATTACCTCCCTTGCACCTCGTCGGTCAAGGGTGGATAATCCTTGCTCGGGGCACCACAACCAATCGATGCTGATTACTGCGTTAGCAAAACAACGTCTTAGACCCAGTCAGGTGTTATGAACAGTGAATATTAGAATAATTGCACTGTCCGACTTGCGCAACACAGAGTCTGTTGATATACATTGTAAACTAACTTCCATGAATGTTTTGTAATGTTTGTATGAAGGCATTCAAATACCAACCTAAATATGCACCAGCGTGTAAATATATACTGTCTATAGTTCCGTGTATTTTGATGTGAAAGCTGAATCGCTTCGTTCAATTATATATTCTGAATCAATAGTTCAGGTCATTTCATTCCACAAAACGTAATTTTGCACACAATTTTTGCAAACGCTGTGTGTATGGGGGCGCACACCCCACCAATGGATTCGCAAGTGAAAAATATAGTTTTATGCGAAATATTCACTTATTAAAAGAGTTTATAACATAATGAGCAGGTTTCTCGGCAGGATAAAGTGAACGGATAAAAACGACATCCGTTATGGTCTTATGCGGATAGAGATGTAAGTATCAAAGGTCAAGTAGGGACTAGACCGTATTTATAAACAAACATGGCGTATCCCTTGTCATTCGGCGATCGAGTCAGTATTACACATCGGGAATCTGGAAAAAACTACAGGGATAGATATATAATTGTTATTATTATCAAAAGAATAGTCTAGTATTCTGAAAATCGGCGTCTAACTGTGACGTAGCTAAGGCATTTGACATGATTTGGCAACTTTTGAGATATATATTGCGAAACAATTAAGCGGGGACATTAACCTTGCGGGATCAATATCCATATCCGTGTTTGTTGACATCTGCGGCTTGGAACCTTTTACCCAAAATAAAACAGTACGTTTTGGCCACAATATGTCCGAATTGTTACCTTGTTTCGTTTTATCGCTGTGTGAACACCTGACTGCACTTCGTAACGTTATGACAGGACAGGCAGACTCAAAACAAAGGTGACGTCTCCTAGGTTAGGGTTAGAGTAGCTTCCCTTTCATAAAGGACAGGCAAGGAGAAACAATTTGTGTAGGCAATTGTTGTTTGCCTATATGTAGTTGCGCCCCCATGTAAGAAACAGATTACAGTTGACTATATTGACTGTTGTCATTGTCCGACTGACTCTACCACTCTATTTATCTGTATTTAAGATATCTTTAATTCATTTCAAGATATCTTCAATTCAATTCACGTTATCTCTAATTCATTTCAAGATATCTTCAAAAGGGTTGAAGGTATCAGTAATTTCGAAATAAATGTGAAAACGGCTTGCTGTGTAGAGTTGCATCCCTTGGTCACGCCAGAAACCTATGGTCGTGAGTTAGGACCCCGGTCCGCCCCGATCATGTTTCTAGGTTTGTCAGCTATAAACCCGTACACGTGGGTTTAACCAAAGTGGTAAACGTCAGTGACCTGCATCACTTCGGGCTTTCCTCCCACATTAAGCTGACACACCATGATATAAATGGAATACTGTTCAAAGCGGCGGTAAAATCAAATCACTCACTCACTCAAGCAGAGTTACAGCTTTGCTGACCACGCGGGTTACAAATTGTGATCACAAAAAAACATGATAATGCAAGATAAATACAAATTATCCTTGAAAAGATTGGAAAATTTGGCAGTTGTTGAAAAACCCACAAAATTCGTGTCCGTAGTCTCACTCTCCATGTTAGGTTGACACGTGGGTCTACGTCTAGACATTGGAATAAGTGTCTTGTCTGAGACTGATGTCTTGTCGCTGTTTTTAAGAAGGTAACCGGGCAACGCAAGCTCATTTATATGTTAAACCCCGCGGGAGTATACAAGGAAAGTGTTATCTAAAGCACCGGATTCAAAGTTGCTGGGACACAAAATGCACTACCTGTCACAGGGCTGTTAAATTAAAGGGAAACAACACTCCAAGTTTGAAAGTCTTGATATATGGATGGGCTTTTTTCTTGCGGATTCAAACTTTGCTTTTTATGGACTATAATTTCGATTAGTTTGACTTGTGTTCGGCGCTCTTTTCGCTGCGCTGCGCGACACCTATGGGAATATCGGAGAATGAGAAGCCATACATCATTACAAAGTTATACAGTAAAGAGCTGCTACCAATCTGACATGTGTTTTGTTGTTGATTAATGCATGTACGAACTGAAGGGGTAAAGCTATCGGTCAACATATTATGTACAATAAAAAACTACATAATATCCCTTCAGAGAATTCAGGAAGCCGAACAGGTGATAGCACACTTCATCAATAAATATGTGAAATTCAGATAAATTATCATAAAACATGATGATTTACCATTTAAATTGTATTTTCTGTTCTGCTAGGCATTTTTCATATGCAGAAATCAGGATTACCGTGTGTATTTTCTCGTAAGCTAAGCCGGAAAGTAGCAATCAGCTGTATGCATATTTTCTACCAATCTACCGGTGATTCGGTTAGAAAATACACAATAAATATAACTTCAAAGAATCTTTATGCAATAATCGGATGAATAGTATCTGAAACTATTAACATAGAGTTATTTTCCGTATTGATTAGTCACCATTGAAGCCTCCCGCGTCCTTGCTACAGCAAATGAATGAAACAAAATGCAAATATCGTAATTACAACCGACCGGAGTTACATGTAAACTGACGTCCAAAAGAAACTTTACCAACTGAAAATATAAATTTCAGACAAAGTATAATTTTTTTTTTGATGGGTAAGGGTATAAAACGATTGCAACGGCAAGTCAGACATCCACAGTGATAAAAAAAACACAAAAGAAATGCCACGACTCACAGTCGAACAACGTGAACGAGCCTTGGGTATGGTACAGATGGGAGCCACCCACGCCCATATTGCACGAACCTTCGGTTGCTCCCGTGTTGCCGTTACCAACTTGATGCAACGTTACAGACAGACAGGGCGGACCGCTGACAGGCCAAGAACAGGCAGACCCAGGGTGACCACGCCCCATGATGACCGGTACTTGCGTACCTTGCACCTCCGAAATCGCTTCCTGACAGTGACGTCATCGGCGACAAATGCCTTAGGTCACAGGGTTAGTCGACAGACAGTGGCCAGGAGACATACAGACCATACAGAGGACAGCTATTGACAGCGCAACATCGTCGTCTGCGATTGAGATGGGCCCGGACTGTACGACGTTGGCAACGACGTGACTGGCAGAGGGTTGTCTTCACTGACGAAAGTCGATTGTGTATGTTTAGGGCTGATGGAAGACAACGTGTTTACCGCCGAAGGGGTGAACGAACGGCGGCGTGTTGCGTGCAGAAGGTCGTACCATATGGTGGAAGGAGTGTCATGGTGTGGGGAGGGATCTGTGGGCAGGAGAGGACACCGCTGGTCATTGTTGACGGAAACTTGACAGCTCAGCGGTACATGGATAACATTCTTCGTCCAGTTGTCCTACCATTTCTCCAACAGCAGCCACGTGGTGTCATTTATCAGCATGACAACGCTAGAGCCCATACAGCCAGAATTGTCACTAACTTCCTCGCAGCCAACAACAGCACATCATGGAAAACGTGTTTTGTTTCACGGGAAGCATGCAGAATAGGGCTATAAAAGACAGACTTTTAAAAGCCACATTACTTGTTGCTGCAGACGTAAAGGGTACTGACACAAGAAATGCCAAGATTAACAGCAGAGGAACGTGAGCGTGCCTTGGGCATGCTTCGAGTTGGTACGTCAAGTAGAGTCGTTGCACAACGGTTCCAATGCCATCATTCAACAGTCCTCAGGCTACTGAGCAGATACCAGCAGACAAGAACCACCAGAGATCGACCACGTCCGTGTCAACGTCGTGTAACTACACCACGTCAGGATGGCTATATTGTTCGTCGGCATCTTCGTGATCGTACACTTCCGGCTACCAGGACTGCAGCAACCGTACAAGGCCGACGGAATTGATCAGTGCTGACACCGTACGTCGACGTTTCCGCTCAGCAGGGCTAAGTGCTCGACGTCCATATGTTGGACCCATACTCACTGATCGACATCGAAATGAACGTCTGCGTTGGGCCAAAAGGCAGCGTCATTGGAGATTGCGGCAGTGGCATGGTGTGCTGTTTTCTGGTGAGTCCCGTTTTCATTTACGGAATGCTGACGGTTGACTGCGAGTGTGGCGTCGATGTGGAGAACGTTACCACAATGACTGCGTTGTACAGTCAGATCGATTGGGGGGGGGGGGGGGGGGGGGAGTGTCATGGTGTGGGGCGGCATCAGTCATAACCATCGAACAGAGCTCCATGTTTGTCGTGGAAGAGTTAATGCCCTTTACTACAGGAATAACATATTGGCAAATCACGTCATCCCATTCTTTCATCAGCACCAGGATATGCACACCTTCCAGCAAGATAATGCAAGAGCGCACACAGCACGTGTTTCAAAACAGTACCTAGCGAACAATAATGTGCCTCTGCTTCCATGGCCAGCCCTGTCACCCGATCTATCGCCAATTGAACATCTATGGGGTTACCTGGGTCAACGCCTCTCACGTCGTCCGCAAGTACAGAACCTGAGAGAACTTGAAGATACACTACGTCAAGAGTGGAATGCCCCAGAACACTATTCGCAGACTTATTCGTTCAATGAGAAGACGTTGCATGGCCTGTGTTGCTGCCAATGGCGGACATACCAGATATTGACTTTTCATTTTAACCCTATGTGTCTTCCTTACACTGATGACGTAATTGTAATTACTGTGTGGTATTCCTGTTTCCTTTGTCGTCTTTCTTAATAATCCGTCTATGTCTGTTCTAATCAAAATCGGTCATTGCTCAAGTTGTTTTTGTAATATTTCAAGATTTATTGCTGGTGCGTTTTCAATGCTGTTCAGTATATTATTTTGCACTGTGAAATGTTTATGCCTGAGAGAAATAATGTCTTCTCATGTCTGATTGATAAACTTGATGTAGATGTATACGTGAAAATAGACATGCTTGACGATGATGATATGCTTTCATTCTTTCTCGGTGCAGATGTCCATGACTTGACTAACGAACTTGATTACGATACCTGGCTAAGCATCATAATGTCTTTCTGCCACTTCATATGGAAGTTAAAGAAAAACTTTATGTATATCTACTAGATACCTTACTGCTCTCAAAATGTACATTGTAAATTATTTATTATAGCAGTGTATAACATGATTTCATTGTATATAGTCAAGTAATTTCATTGATGTATTGTAAATAATGTATTTGCCCATGTAAAATCTTCGGATTCAACTCTGGAGGAAATTCATTCGTTCATTCATTCATTCATAGCAAGGACAATAGAAGCCAGCTAGGCAATTAGCGCCGACAAAGATCAAACCAATAAGTTCCAAGCACTCGGCAGATAGGTTCCCTGGTCACGGTTCATGGCTGGCTGGGGTCTCCTGATGTCAATGGATTCTTGTAGTTTTCTTTGTCGCCAGTTGTTGTTGTTGGTAGACAGGACTTTGGTGGCTTCCCACATGATGTTATGGTTTTGGTTCTTCTGGATGTGTTCGGAAATAGCGGATTTCAGGTCTAGTTTGTAAATAGAGGTCTGATGTTCTTTGAGTCTGGTGTTGTGAGGGGTCTGGGGGTTTCTCCAATGTACCTCTGGCCACAGTTGCAGCGGATCTGGTATATACATCCTCGGGGCTTGGGAATTGCGCTGCTTGTGCCTCTGCCATTGGTTAGTACATGGGTCTTGATGGACTTGCCGCTAGAGAAGGTGGCATCTATGTTGGCTTTGTTCTTGATGAGGCGGGAAATCTGGTTAGTGACATGGCCTTGGTAGGGTATGGTACCGTACCATCTCCTTCACCCATCAGAAGGATTATATGAACTGAATTTCACAATAATACAATAACAATACGTACACGTATTTTCTGTAGACCAAACTACATAATTATATAGACACATTAACACACGCAGAATGAGATGAATTTGCAAGGTGAAATGTTATAGTAAGCAGCATCCACTCAAATACCGGGATTCAAGGGGATTACCCCTCGCTGCCAACAATTTTCCAGTTGGCCATTCGCTGGTCAGAAGCCCAGTTGTTAATTAGCTTATGGTGATTACGCGGGCTAATTAAAATGGCACCGGCTAGACGACAGAAAGTAGTGTTGTTTCCTCTTAAGAGTACTGACGGGGACGACACGCCCAACAACGCACCGTGTATCCTGGAGTCTATTGGTTACACCTTTCACTGTGCTATAACAGCGACCATAAGTCTCTGACTATAGAAACGACAGTTCGATACGCATGTATGCATTTCATCTGTTCATATCACAAAGACAGTAATCTCATTAAAATCAGATCTCAGATCTCGCTACCGAAAAACCTGAGGACATCCCATTTCATACTCGTGAAGATATCTGGGGTAGAATAGGTCTTCAGCAACCCATGCTTGCTGTAAGAGGCGACTATGCTTGTCGTAAGAGGCGACTAACGGGATCAGGTGGTCAGGCTCGCTGACTTGGTTGATGCATGTCATCGATCCCCAATTGCGTGGATCGATGCTCATGATGTCAATCACTGGATTGTCTGGTCCAGATTCGATTATTTACAAACCGACGTCATATACCTGGAATATTGCTATGCGGTGTTAAACAACAAACAAAAAACCACTCATTAGGGTCATGTCAGAACACCTTTCGTCCGACCAATCAGAGCGTCGCTTACCAGATCAGGAAAGTCATTGTAGGTGTGTCTTTTCTAATCATGCAACTTCGAAAAGGTTAACACGGGGTATATTGTACGAGCGCTTCCATCATTGTCGGCGTTGGTCAAAACGGAATTAAAGGGCCTTCAACAAAGTGATAAGATTATACTGGACGTGTTGAAAGGAGGCCCAGTCAAATTTTTCTTTGTTTGTTATGGAACACCGCCTGCAGCAATTTTCCATCTTTATGCTGCCGGTTTGTAAATAATTCAGTCTTGACCAGACATTTGATTGCCATCATCAGGATCGATCTCCACCTTGGGAATCCTATGACATGCATCAACCAAGCTATGTCACGATGTGTAAGTATAATGAGGTATGTCCCAGACACGTCCGAGCACACGACCTATCCAGAGTGAGTGAGTGAGTATGGTTTTAAGCTGCTTTTAGCAATATTCAAGCAATATCACTGTGAGGGACACCAGAAATGGTCAGCGAACACTTTAACCACTAGGATACCCGACCGCCGCCCACCTATCTAGAAAATCCAGAGTGAATCCGGAGTCATCTGAAAACATTATACACTCTAATCGTCATTGGCATCTGGCTATTTGTTATGATGTACAACACCTGATGCCGACCATGCTGACGATTTCTTATCTAAACATTGAACTGGCTCGATGCAGGTGAACAGCCATTTGATGGGATGGGTGGTTGCCCTCACTTTTTTTCAAGCCAAGTTTCTGATTACTGGATCCTGGACTTGTTGTGTTGGCCACGGGTGACCTGTGCAGGGCCAATCATTAACATTTTGTGTCTGCAGAAACCTGTTCCACATTGACACATCGAACAAATATTGGCTACATGTACATGTGTTCTACTAGTTGGAGGCGATATTACATGAAGTATATAACTCATTCACTCTATCAATTTGATGCATGTCAATAGCCCTTAGACTTTGATCATGTTGCAGATGATTCCTAATCATGTCACAAATTATGAAGGCTAGAGAGCTCATGTGTTACTGTGCATAATGAATATCAACAATACTAACGGCGCAGAGCGATTTAAAACCACCTTACCCACTGAAGTGTATTTTTTTTAAATTTTTTATTAAACCTTTCAGAAGAGTTGGGGACCCAGACCCCCCTTTTTGAAAACCAAATTTAGTATGATATAAGCAGTAAAATTGACAGAGAAGAGTTTGATATTTTGGACCCACCATTGCTATGCCTGGCAATCCTTTTCAAAGGTGGTCTTTCTTCTGACGACAGATCACAACATTCATATTGCATTGTCTCACTGCATGTCGTTCCACAAGCGATGTCACACAGCACTTCTAGACTAATACAAACATTCTCACATTCAGCAGGCATGGGGTGTTATGGACATGTAGTCTCTCTTACACACCCCAGAGCACGTATGTTTCTAATAAACACACCCCAGAGCACGTATGTTTCTAATAAACAATCACCCCCGTCCCTTGAGACCTACAGTGGGTACCTTGGTAGGGTCAGGTAATACGGGGATGGGTACCCGGGTAGTAAATTTGGACTCGTCCCAGCCCTAGTGTCTACTCCTGCTGCCAAACACTGTTGAGGATTGAGTCAATGAAGTTAAAAATTAACTTGAAAATTTGTCTTTACTATTAATAATGCTAAAGATCCTTTACAACTTTACAAAAACAGATATTTTATTCCACTACATTATATTTCATACAATGTACTTATCCAACACATCCACACAAATGTCTCTTTGAATATTTCAGTCCCATGTTAAAGTCCAGTCACTGTGAACATCTCCAAGTGAGACTCATGAGTCTTTCCTCTGCGCTTCAGCCTGTATTCGGGCCATAAGTTTTGCTGTCTGTGTTTCCTTCTTCTTCTGTTTTGCCAATCTCTTTTCTTCTTTAGCTTTCTCTTCCAACATTTCCTTAAACTTCTCATCTCTTGGGTCCACCTTGTAGCCGAAGTACGCCATGGCGTCATCTAGCAGCTTCTTCTTCTTCAGCTCCCTCTCCTTCACTTCCTCCGTTCGCTTCTGCTCCCGCTGGTGGTACTCCTTCATCCAGCCCTCCATCTTCTCCATGTTCTTGGTTATCGTCTCCACTCTGGAACATAGTCGAGTACATGAGACCACAATAAATCAACTACAGTAAACTAGGTTTATAACGAACACGCTTATAACGAACACGCTTATAACAAACTGACGGATATAACAAACTGCCTTTTGGTCCTGTCCATTTGCTGTATATATAGTTATAACGAACTGCGGTAATAAAGAACTAAAACTAGTCATCCCTTGAGTTCATTATAACCATAGTTTACTGTACTTGATTCTTATCCAAATGTTTAAAAAATGTGAGATGGGAGTAACTTTGTTTATTTTTTCCACTGATGTGGTTCTCATCTTGACAAGTGTATTCTAACACAGACATATTTTTGGAATGACATGCGCTGATCAGCAACGGATGCAGAATATTATCAGTCACAAATTAAACATAGCCACCTGCTGAATGTTGTCACACATGAAATATCAACTAAAGAAAGAAAAAAACACACCAGCTTTTTTACCTTAGGTACTTAAGTGCCAAATAATGATATACAAACTAATGATGTGAGGTTCGGTGTTTGGTAATAAAGCGGGAAGGGATGAAAATCTAATATTTACCATATTATGGCCTAAGCTTTATAAGTTATTACATGTTAACATATGGGTTAAATACATCTACAATTATCCCGTGTATCTTTAGATAATATAGATCTCATTCCACATGTTATGTAATGGAGAAATCACCTAAATTTGTTGATCTGTAGATTTCTCGAATCAAATGATTCGAGTGATTTCTCTGACTTAAACCATGTTGTGGTTGATGAATAATTTCGCTATAATTGTGCATAATGGCCTATAGTTGTGTCAGTTTCACCTTTTTAAAATATTTGCCAGAGAATTCCTGGCTCTGAATCAACTCCAAGAACAAATAGCATGACGTTTTCATAATGGTTTCAAGAACTTATTAGAACCCTGGCCTGACTTGCTGCCATGGCTTGTTTGATCACGTGTTTATGTGACCTCATCATGTTCACCATCTCTGTCATTGTCATCAGTACCCTTTAGGTGGGTGTTGTGATCTTGATGTATCAGTGCATTTTGAATGTTGATACAGTATCAATACAATTTTATGAATATTGATACAAAATTAATAACTTACTTCCACAGAAATGTTCACATGTATTAACATTACCATGGAAAAGATGGGCAAGGAGAAGGTAGACAATTTAATTTTAAACAATTGAATTTAAACATGATTGAAGGATCAACCTCGTTAATATTTAGTATTAAATTGATTAATTACAGATCGACATACTGTGACTTACAAATTAATTTAATAAATAACCAATATATCGAGACTTTTGAGTTGATATATCATTACTACAATTTCCAGGCAGTACCCATTATAACACCCACAGTACATTGCAGAGCTTTCCCAGAGAATTACTCACACAACAGTGTCATTTGATGGACAGCTATTTCTGGCATTATGAATAGGTTGAAAAAGAGTCTATTGTGCTGATTTGGGCCAGGGTATTTATTATAACAGAATGGAGTGAGTGAGTTGGGTTTAACACTGCTTTTAACAGTATTCCAGTTATATCACGGTGTGTCAGCTTAATGTTCCGCTAAACGCACAGGCTGGGGCCGCCTAAACAAATCTGCTGGTGGTAATGAAGGCCAGGAATCAATGCAGTACTTATGGAGCGGTGACACCAGTACACAGGATATTCAAAGCCATTTTATGCATGCTTCAGTGACATTGCCCAAAGACGTGAAAAGACGTGTTCTGTAGTAGGAATCTCACAAGAGGCCACTGGTAATACGATATGCAACCATGTGCACACTGTACTCGGGGGGGGTGGCAATAATTGGCACGTCAACATGATCAGGCAATTGACATTTTGAGAATGAATATTCTGTGAAAAGAACACCATAAAGTATGAGCATATTGATGTACTCACCTGATGACCTAGGATCTAAACGTGTTTAATTGGACATTTATAACAACTTACTGCTCAGCAAAACAGGTATGAGTGAGGGCGTATAGCCCTTTACAAAGTAACCTGCAACCTTGGGGTATTGCGGTACTTGTTATGTACGCTAAATTGAAGAAAATGCACTCACTAACTCTTATGATTATTCGTGTTCTCTATATCAGTTGTCACTATCTAACTATGCATATTTTATTGATAAAAGTTCATTATTTACATTAGTAGAGCCAAGTAAAAGCCGGGCCTCACGCTCAGTTTGACAAGGGTGAGAATTCCATCGTATCGCGATACAGGGAAAAGTTGTGTATGGAGGTCCAAATTGGACAAAAACAGGACATAATTCTACTAACCACTAAATATGATGATGCCAGATTTCGGGGATTTGTCCAGACAAGTGCAAAGACATCACAAGTAAGCCAAAGTATTAGACACAAAACCATTTCATCCTTTTTACTCGACGTTTTTGTGTGAAGAATATTAGGAAATATATTAGATTATAGAATCTATAATAGCCACTAAACGGGTAGATTTACCTAACCCTAATGATAAAGGGATGATTGACCGTAAAGGGGATCCAAGGGCTAAGGACAGAATTCGGGTAATCTAATAGCCACTAAACAGGTACCTAACCCTAATGATCGAAAAGGGGTGATTGATCGTAAAGGGGATCCAAGGGCTAAGGATAGAGTTCAGGGTAACCTACCCTAACACTAGGGATATTTGGATGTGCCAACATAATATCCCTAATAAACTGCATTCTTGTGCAAAATAATGAAAATTAATCAAATGAAAAAATAATATATGTATATTAGTTCCCATTTATAACCATTTTAGCCACTTTAATTACCAGAAAAACAAAATATAAATATAAATAAAATAAAAGTATAAACTAGTGTTTGCTATAAAATGCGCCGCCACAGGCTATATTTAGTAAACAAATATTCAAAACTCTCCACACTGCTTGGCGTATTCAATGACATTTCGTGTAGAGATGATAGATCACTGGGAGGAGCTTATGCACAGTATTGCACACTCGATGGCCCCTGACATCACAGGGTATTGTTTCCCCAGTGTGACTGGCAACAAAATACTACAAATTACATCATACGGTATTGTCACGTGTTTGAAAAGTCTGTGGTACTGTATTCTAAAGGTAGGCCCTATAATCTAGTATTGTCAATGTCATGTTATTGAGAAACGAACATGATAAAAAGAAACATTTTTGACATAATCGTATTTTAGCACATTTACAGTAACCACTGGGTAAATCAAAACCTGTGACACTGAAACCTACCTTTTAGCCATCTTCGATTCATCTGCCTGTTTGCGTCTCTCTATGTTTTTCATCATATTCTCAAGCGTTGGCTCCCACTCGTTCTCCAGCCTAATCTCCTCTCGCAGTTCACTGCGGGTTGGCCAACATTTCCGGGGGTCGAATCCAGACTCATTCCCGAACTTAGCATAGTTACGTCGCTTATAACGCAACTCCCTCTGATATGCTGTGCGGATCTCGGGTTGCAAGTTGTGTTGACGCTTGTAGAGGTTACCTCTCAGACGCGAGACATTTCTCAGTTTTTCGATAATGTCTTCACTTTCAACTACAGCTTTCTGTGGTTTCAGCAAAACTTCTTCCTCTTCTGGCGTTGGCCCTGAACTATACAATGCAATGGAGACTCTAGCATTCAAACGGACTTGTCTTCGTAAATAGGTCTGTAAAGTTGACAGTTTACTGGAACACAGTTTACACATGGACGTCGCCATTTTCGGAAAGGTCTAAGGGAGGTAATCAACGAATAGATATAATCTCACCGCAAGTAAAAGGTTGCGAAGACCTTATCGTGTCTATTATTTCTAGTAGAAATTGGTACTAGTTCTATAGTCCTTGCCAAACTGCCCAGTAGTTAAGGTATAATAAGGACTGGTAGAAATTTACCCTTTTTAAGGATTTTGCTACATGTTATCAGTATAAGGACTAGTGGACTAAAACTGTTAGTTTCTATCGCTGCTTTGTCGATTTATTATTTTTGTTCGTTGATAATGTCAGCTCCCAAGTGAACTTTTTAGATTGTGTACCCGTGCATGACGAATTGTTGCTTTGGAAAACTCGGAAAAAGACACACATGAAAGAATGTGTATTTTCAAAATCTTGATGATATTTTTGGAGAAAATGGATCCAAACAATACCAAAATAAATCCGTAGTGATTTATGTTATACAGTTAATACATGTGCCCCGTTTCCCCATCTGATATTATGACTAGTTATTATACCCCGCCACGAAGTGGGGCGGAGGATATAGAAACAGAGTTCGTCCGCCCGTCCTCTGCTCAAAGGGGACAAAGTTTCACAAAAACTATTCAAGTCAGAGAAATGAAATTTTGTGCACTTATTTTTCTGCTCATGATCTCAAATGGCTTCGAAAATTGGTGTTGTAAATTCATTTTTATACAGAGCTATGGCCCTTGCTCCGTGCTTTTCAACTTAGTGCATACTGCGTGGAATAGGGACAAGTTTTCTCAGAAACTACTGAAGTTACCATAATAAAAGTGTGCATGCTTATCTAACAGAGACTTGTCACGACGAGTTCGGAAATTGGTCCCGTCAATTATTTTTTGTACCTGAAAGTTTTCTCAGAAACTACTGAAGTTAGCTTATCTAATAGATACTTATCAAGAGCTATTTCTTTCCAGAGTAGGGAACTTTTGTGTGAATAAATTTCACATTTAATAAAAAAAATCTGATAGCATCAAGGAAAAAAACCCACAGCACATAATTTTGTGAAAATAAAAAAGTCAGCCACCATGTGTTGAAAAAAAAAAATCTCATCCTAAAAAAAGTCTCAACCATAATATGGCCATCCTCACCAATACAGAGTATTTCGTGAGCAAAGCCGCAATCTTTGACATAGAGGCATGAACATGAGACATTAATAATCATTTCACATCTTTCATTTCAAGATTCCATATCATGCAAATGATTGTGTCTTATTGACCCCACTTTTCCCGCCGTGATATGACTGAAACAGGTGTTGACTGTGATGTGAAATGCCAATTAAGCATCACTTACCCTAAAATTACAACATTAACATACTCGTATTGTCAAGAGAAATGAATTATGTATCAACATCATTACAAGTTAAGCCATGAATGAGGACAAAAGAGAAGGTGTCCACAGTTTGGAGGATGGGGTCAGTTGTTCAGTATTCGATCAACCATCAAGACTGAAATCATGAAACTCCCTTTAATCCTTCAGAATACCACACGTTATCAGTCAGTCTTGCGTATGTGCCCACCACGGGAATCAATGCGCGGCCCAACTCGACGATGAGAAGAAGAAGCGACACGTCAGATCACAAGAAATGGGATTCAACACAATTCTTCTCAGAGGGCCTGTGCTAACTGATCCTTGTAATAAGGGCGACCTAGCCGTGCTCTGATTTGACGGTCAAGGGGACCCCACAATAGTTCTGTAGTGATAAGTCTGGTGATTGTGCTGGCCAAGGCAAGATGTTTTATGGGACCTCGTGTTTTGTTGTTAAATCAGGGTCTGTCCTGTTCTGTTGCTAGAGTGAGTGAGTATGGTTTTACGCCGCTTTTAGCAATATTCCAGCAATATCACGGCGGGGGACACCAGATGTGGGCTTCACACATTGTACCCATTTCGGGAATCGAACCCGGGTCTTCCGCGTGACGAGCGAACGCTTTAACCACTAGGCTACCCGACCGCCACTCTGTTGCAAGAACGGCAGTACACCTTATCGGATAGACTGGTCAATATAACGCTGTCCAGTGATATCTCCTTCAGATATAACTAGATCTGTCATGACTTGGTTACAGATGCTGAATTGACAGGAGGAGCAATGATGCCGACTTGACAGGGCTACAGATGCTGCCACCTCCAAACGGATCGACATCTTGAATGCAACGATGTTAGGACGCACATTCTTCCATTTTGCCAGGAAAAGTTTGAATCTGCCCTCTCCCGTTAACACGACTCTTTGCCAAGTTCTGTTCTACCAGCATTGCAGTGTCAGTGTTACGTGCATCGGTCTTCTGTCCACTGTCCATCGGCTGACAGGATGACTGTCTCAGTTGATGACGCCACAGTGATAATATAATTCCTCAGATGGAGGATACGCGTGTAGAGTTTCCTGGGTGGTGCGGTGACTGGACAGGTCTGCCACTCCTAGGCCTTCTGAATCAGGTCATGCGCCTGGTGGCCATCAGTCGTCCACAGCCAAAACTCCTTGCGAGGTGGTCATGCGTTGCTCCTTATTGTATCATACCAACAGCCTGTTCTCTCTGTTGTAGGCATGCTACTGTCCAATGGCTTGAGTGTAAATGCACAGTACATCGTTCCTTTTATACCCTTATCTTCGTAGGTTGGCATGCTGTGAGTGCAGTCAAAATTTCACTTCAAACAAAGGTGCCATTGATATGAGTACGGTAGCAAGTTGTTTTGGTTGTGTTTGGGTGATTGATTATCAACCATTTTGTAACACTTTGTGGGTCTGGACCCAACGAGTCCAAAGTTCAGTTTGGTCACGTTTCCTCGTCAGTTTACACCAAGTTATACTAAGTATGTCCATCATCCACAATCTTAGTAATTGGAAAGTACACTCCTCGAGCAGCTGTGAGTACAAACATGTCAGGGTGTCCAGTTTTCTGCCACTGGGTTTTTGCTAGTAACACATGGACATTTGTTATATACAAAATGCTTTTATCATCGTTCTGTTTCAAAATCACCTACATATGTACTGTTTTAAAAATGAACGGTGAGAAAAATTAACATTCTTTCCATGTGTTGAATTTGAAATGTGACGTAAAAACAAACCTTGTGACGAAACAAAATGTCAGCCTCTAATAATGAAGACAGAAAACATGACTCTCCCCCCCCCCCCACCCCCCCCCCCCCCCCACCCCCCCCCCCCCCCACCCCCCATCAATCACTACCACACATTCTATTCTGATAAATACCATGGTCCCATTCGCCACAATCTTGATAATGTTGCTACAGTGGTTTCACAAAATGGTAAAACGTCAAAGATCTACGTCACTTCGGGTTCTCCTCCCGCATCGTGAACCCGCAACCAAACTCTCTCACTCATTCGCCACCACAGTTTCGTTCAGGAAGTGACGTCGCCATACGTGTGTGTAATTTGATTGGACCGCTATTTTAAACGTCGTGCCACTCGAACCAGGCTCAAAACGAAGCTTTAGTGGCGAGTATGTCCGGGGTATCTATCCGAAAAGAAAAGAGATAAACTGAGGAGCAAAAGAAACTATACCCCTCAGTTGATTTTATGGTATGTTTAATTTTACCACTGAAAAATATTCAGTTAGCCATATTATACTCTGCTGAAAGGAAACGCGAAAGTAAAATCGTAAATATCTGATAGTGTTGCCGACATACATACACAATTAATACCAAATATGGTCATTTCTCTGTGGACTGGGATTGATGTTTGTGGAAAGAATGAGGTACCGCAGAAATTTTGTGAAAAGATGGAAAAATTGCAAATACCCAACCGTGTGGGCCTGCAACAGAAACGCACCAACATGGCGTGCACGTGCAACATCACTTGTTCATCGATGAAAACGCTCGGTTTTCATTGGCATGCCATCCTAATCTTACAGCAAGTGAACGGCGAAAACATGCCACGACTGACGGAAGCCCAACGCAACAACGCAATCGGCCGGCAGCAAACAAGAGACTCATCTTCAGCTATAACCAGGGATTTCACTCAGCATCAAGCACCATTACAAGACATGGAACCGTTATCAGACACACGGGACAACACTTGACCTTCCCAGATCCGGTCGACCACGTATCACTGTTAGAGCACAGGACAGATTCATACCTCTACGTCACCTACGTGAAAGAACCACCACGTCCACCTCTAAAACTACGACAATACCAGGACAGCGAGGAACCATTTACGCGCTAGACGACAAGCTCGGGGTGTCATTTTGACGAACCTGCATCGTCGGCTGCGACGTCAGTGGTACAATGGTCACAGAGTATCGCCATAACTGCGTTGGAGACAAGTTTGGTTAAGTGACGAGTCACGTTTTATGCTTCGCCGTGCGGATGGTAGACGTCGTGTGTACAGGCGTCGCAGGGAACCTTATGCACGGAACTACTTACAGGAAGTAGACATATTTGGTGGTGGTAGCGTGATGATCTGGGTATATGGAATTTGGGTATATATTCAAAACTTGAACTTGGGATTAGTCAGCACTCAAAGAATACTTCCATATACACACTTAAAAAAAGAAAAACGCAATACGGATGTTTTTGGCCATAAAAGCAAAAAAAAAGCGGCCCAAGAGATGCACAATGAAGAGGTTTAATGTGCTATAGTGTGAGTGACAAATTTCCCGAATCAAAACGATCACAACATGGGTCGACAACATCGTCTACAACGACTGCATTGGTGTCGTCAATACAGGGTATGCCCTCAACTGCTATGGAGAGATGTCTGGTTCAGCGACGATGCCGACGTCAACCACCACCAAAGACGTCCTAGCAGTTGGCTTTTGCGTTGCAGGCCGTGTGGGGTACCATTCCCCAGGAAGTGATTCGCATACTCGTCTCTTCCATGGGCAGGAGATGTCAGGCCGTTATCGATTCCAACGGGGGACATAGGCGTTATTGGTGGTAGCTGACCTTCACCTTAGACTTTTCCTATGTACCGATAACTGAGATGACTACAAACACCAAGTGTTCTCTCCACAACACCTTGTAGGGTTCTTCTTATAAATGTTTTTTCCTACCCCACACAAATCTGGCTTTGCGTTTCTTTTTTTGAAGAGTATAGTTTTAGTATTTTAAATATATTTTGATTTAAACTTTTAAAAATTAAAAAACAACAAACATTTCGTATAATACACAAATGCTTATGCATATCTTAGCCATCCTATCTATATAATATAATAAAAATAAATTTGCTTTTTTTCAGCACAAATTTACAATATTTCAAAACATGGTAGGCGTCATGTAGCTGCAAATTTATTTCTTACTCCAGTTTTCAATGACCAACTTTATTTTCACACAAAATGTGTAACCACAACCACAGATTACATTTCATAAACTGTTGACATAACCAAATTTAACATTTCCTTCAATAACCCTAAAAAAAGACTTTGTATTATATACACTGAATTATGAGGACGGGAACACACTGCTCAATACCATTATCTGACAGTCGTTTTTGAATTGTTGTGTTTTATAGTCGAACCTTTTCATTATAGATGACCAGGTGAATAAATTTTAATAAGGCTTTGCCTTATGATGCTTTAAGCACAGAGAATCTGACAAAACCATGCTAGAATCTGGCTGAACTTTGAGACAGGTTCAGACATTTTTAATGCCACGACATTTTGGGATACGCTGTTGTTATAAGAGGTTTTGGCTACACGGACCGGTGTTATAACGAGGTTCAGTGCAATTTGTCTGCTATGAATGAAGACAATCAGTTTTACTCAAGTTGTTACTATCTGGAACAAGATCCACAAAAAGTATCGCAAATAGGTGTGTTAGAATATACACCACAGTTATCTGACAGATAATATTTATCTATGACAGATAGTAGGCGACGGCCACTGAACTATATTTGATATAAACTACGACAAAATCGCTAGGTTTCCACAGCTGACCAACATACTGAGCCAATATGAAGCTAGCCATTGGTAAGAGAACGAATACCGTGTTTATGAATCAGAGATTTGTATCAGGGGGGTTGCTGACATATAACAATATTTATCAACCAACAAATGTCCCCTGCCGTCATATTTTTCACACATATGTATGTATGAAAACAGAAATTAATATATGATATGAGAATGTTAATATTTTCAAACGATTCCAACTTTATATATGAACATATTATATTCTGTTCTCTGTCGTATATTTTGATAAGTTCCCCGCACGTGATCATATTTCATGAGTAAGGCTGCACGCTGAATGTCAGCATAACCAGTGGGTTAACTGTAACTTGCTGTACGGAGTTGTACCCCTTAGCTGTGTCCGGATCTGCTGATTGTTGAGTTGAATCCCTCATTCGCACTCATTGTAATCATTTGTCTGCCTGCAATATGTTCCTGGTCGCCACGAAAGCGATGAAAACTTTCGTCACGTTCGGCTTTATTCCCTTCCAAGGACATGTGTCTGTGACTGGTGCCTTGTTTTTGTCTTTCAGTTACCTTGCTTTCATTCTCGGCACTTGTGGCATCAGGCCCCATAGGTAAGTTTACCTGTAATCACTTGTCAGAGGAGGGGACGTATCTCGGTGATCAGAGTTGTGTCCCTTAATCCTGTCAGGATCTGCGAATCCGTAAGCATCCCAATATTGAACCTTCGTATGACAACTTTCCTCAAGCATTAACTGATATACATCGCGACACAACCGGGACTTCGACACATAAGAGTTCGACACAGATGTTCACCTGTATAGCAAATCCACGGATAACATACATCCACCGTTCATCATAGTCTAATTAATCCGCTGTACAGATCGACGTTCATGACGTCATATATTTACATAATCTGTCATAAAGCTGGACTATTGTGTTGCAACACGTTTTTTCTTTACCTTTTGGCAGCAGAATCTCAGCACACGTACACAGCTGACGTAATTCAAAATAAACATGTAGTTTTTATCAGTTTCAACAAAATCAGTAAATACGCTATTGTGTTACTGGATTTCCTGATCCATCGATGACTTGATTGTCTGGTTTGTTTACAGGCCATCGTCGCATGGCAGGAGTACTGCTGTGTCGGGCGATACATGCTTACTTTGTAATGCTTCCGGTAGGGACGTGCTTTTCCTTTTCGCATACACCTGGTGTCGTAACTGATTTTCAGTGGTCAATTCATAAAATTTTCACAGCTGTTTTTCCCTTTATGCCAAATGGAATCTGTTTCGGCGGATAATAAAGCTACCTATACTGTGCACACAATAGATTCTCAACTTCAAGTCTAGTTTATCAAAGACAAAAATGTATAAGAATTCTTTCTGCATGTTTTGTGAATAAAACAAGAGAGGCCCCTCCTGCAGAATCAGATACATACTAGGGTTTCAAGTATGCAAGACAATTGACTGAATATGAGAATTTTATACACCAAAACTGTGCCAAATATTTAGCCTTAGCATGTAATCTTTGCATGGTCCTCTGTAATTGTTGTACGACGGTTGTCAGTCATTGATTATATTTACAATGAATGCAAAAATTATTTTCGTAACCAACTTCTTTTAGTTTGTGTGGATCTTTCTCTCTCACGGCATGCCCAGTCGGTTTCCATCGCTGACATTGCTGTATCCAAACTTTACCTCGCTATACACATTTCGTGTCTTGAATATGAGAATAACGGAAAATCACGTCGTTGTCATGTACATTAATACATTAATGCACTGTCAACAAAGGAAAATGGCGGACATCTCTCCGCTATGACGTCACTGCTACAGCTAGGCCTCTAGCCGGAGTTTCAATATGTATATGCGCTGGTTGTGGGATCAGGGCAGTTATTTGTTGCTTTTAAGATAACAATGAAATCACATAGGATCCTTTTTGGTGTAAACATATACTTTGTACGACTTATGTTTTAAAACATTTTGATTATAATGTAGGTGTGTTTCTAGAGACAAGGAAGCGCCACATTTCAAGCTCCCACAAGCTCCCACCACATTCTGTCCATAGTTTTTCATTTAATCTGATCAAAACTCATTGTCACACACATATAGACACACAGAGACACACACACACAGGCAGACAGACAGACAGACACACACACACACACACACACACACAAACGAGCATACGAGCAAGATTGGTGTTTGTTAATGTTGGAAAAAATGCTGAACTGGGAATGTGTGTGGAGGGATGCAGTATTAGAATAGGTCTTCAGCAACCCATGCTTGTCGTAAAAGGCGACTAACGGGATCGAGTGGTCAGGCTCGCTGACTTGGTTGAAGCATGTCATCGATCCCAATTGCGTGGATCGATGCTCATGATATTAATCACTGGATTGTCTGGTCGAGACTCGTTTATTTACAGACCGCCGTCATATAGCTGGAATATTGCTGCGGCGTAAAACAACCAACCAACCAACCAACCAGTATCATTTTACATATACGCACATGCTTACCTTCCATTATCCCACACACGCGCCTACACGTGTGTATGTAGTGTATTAAATAGCTATAGAACTGTCTCTACAATATATGTCTACTGAGGCACCGTTCTGTGTTGCAGGTGACCCCGGTGTGAAGAGGGCTACGGACTGTGCAGTACGTTGAAGCTTCTACGTGTATACAAGTATAAAGCCACAGAAAATTAATAAAAGATAGTCATCGAGTTATACTAAAGGGCTGGAATATATAAAATAACACGTGGCCTCAACATGCCAAATTGGCATGCCTGCACCTACATCAGTACAACATTTGTATTGAACGTATCTCACAAAACAAATATGGTAGTAACCTATGTTTTAGTGACATAAAGCGATCCTGGTGCTATATTATGTCCCAACTCCTATACTATATAATAACTTGAGATTGTAAGCGTTTTTTTGTCGCCATGCTGTCAGGTGAACTCAAGACGACACGTGCATCAAGTCAATGTTAATATACATGACGTGGCGCCGTTTCCCTGTAAGGAGCTTGAAATGCAGATATTCCAGAGATCGGCAAAACGCCCGTTGCTATGAATGACGGCGGGGTATATTTTTCCAAGTAGTACAACGGTGTAGCAGGGGACATGGAAAACGTCATTGACGAATACAATTCAAGTATTTCAAATATAAGGTAAAATGATATGACAGAATTCCAATAGTCGTAGCGCTAGTATCTCTGCTGCTGACATGGTTTGGGCTGAGTTGACGCTGACAGATCATGTTATTCCTGCAGGCCCTGTCTTGTGCCAGTGACGAGATGTGTGTACATGAACTTGTGTACTGCAAGAAAGACCCCTGTCCCCGCCAAGCCGTGTGTGCCGGTGAGTGACTGCACAACATGTGGTTTTAGCCCTAGGTCAATGTTTATGCATGCTGTAACACTTGGGTGAATAACGACAAAGGGTGAGCTTTGCCTCAGATTCCATCTGAAATTCTGGTGGGAGGGGTCCCGTACTTTTTGTTAAAAACTTTACAAAGAGAAAAAAATGGTATATCTTACACACACGCACGCACGCACGCACGCACGCACGCACGCACGCACGCACGCACGCACACACACTAGCACAAAACAAACAAAATGCAACAAACCCAAATATACATCTATTAATGTCACATGAGTGTAAAAAGTGCCCCGTTCTATATATTCCCATGCCCCCCTTGATAAATGCGCATTTCTTACCCCCGTGCGATATTAATATATCTAGAAACAGTACGCAGCGACACAAGGGCCCATGGACCTGCCCATGTCATGACATCCCTATGTCTTTATCCATGTGATAGCGTTACTGTTTGTATCCATACCATATCATCACTATGTGTTTATCCGCCAAAGCATCACTGTGTGTTTATCCATGTTATAACATCACTCTGTGTTTATCCATAGCGTCACTGTGTGTTTATCCATGCTATAACATCACTATGTGTTTATCCATATTATAGCATCACTGTGTGTTTATCAATGCTATAGCATCACTATGCGTTTATCCATATCATATTATCACTATGTGTTTATCCACCAAAGCATCACTATGTGTTTATCTATGTCATAACATCACTATGTGTTTATACGTGTCATAGCATCACTTTGTGTTTATCCACAGCATCACTGTGCTTATCCATTTTATAACATCACTATGTGTTTATCCGCCATAACATCACTATGTGTTCATCTATGTCATAGCATCACTATGTGTTTATCCATGGCATCACTATGTGTTTATACGTGTCATAGCATCACTTTGTGTTTATCAATAGCATCACCGTGTGTTTATCCATGGCATCACTATGTGTATATACGTGTCATAGCATCACCATGTGTTTATCATAGCATCACCATGTGTTTATCTATAGCATCACTATGTGTTTATCCGTGTCATAGCATCACTATGTGTTCATCTATGTCATAGCATCACCATATGTTTATCATAGCATCACTATGTGTTTATCCATGACATAGCATCAGTATGTGTTTATCCATGGCATCATTATGTGTTTATACGTTACAATCTGTTTATCTGTGTCATAGCATTACTATGTGTTTATTCATGACATAGCTTCACCATGTGTTTATTCATGACATAGCATCACTGTTTATCCGTGTTTCAGCGTTACTCTGTGTTTATCCATATCATAGCATCAATGCGTTTATTCGTGTCAAAACATCGCAATGTGTTTATATATATCATATCACCAATTTGTGTTTATCTATTGCATCACTGTTTATCCATGTCTTAGCGTTACTATGTGTTTATCCGTCATAGCGTTACTATGTGTTTATCCATATCATAGCATCACTGTTTATCTGTGTCATACCATCACCATGTGTTCATTTATATTATATCATCAATTTGTGTTTATCCATATCATTACTGTGTTTATCCGTGTCACATCATTAGTGTGTTTATCCATGTCATAGCATCATAGCGTTCATCTATATTATATCACCAATTTGTGTTTATCCATAGCATTACTGTGTTTATCCGTGTCACAGCATTACTGTGTTTATCCGTGTCACATCATTACTGTGTTTATCCATGTCATAGCATCACAGCGTTCATCTATATTATATCACCAATTTGTGTTTATCCATAGCATTACTGTGTTTATCCGTGTCACATCATTACTGTGTTTATCCATGTCATAGCATCACAGCGTTCATCTATATTATATCACCAATTTGTGTTTATCCATAGCATTACTGTGTTTATCCGTGTCACAGCATTACTGTGTTTATCCGTGTCATAGCACCACCATATGTTTATCCATGTCATAACATCTGTTTGCAGCTAAAGACAGCCACATCTGCAGATACAAGCCGTGTGAGAACGGAGGGGTCTGTTTCCCAGACACGACGCTGGGTTACACGTGCTCTTGTCTTCCCGGCTATGTTGGAGTTACTTGTGAAGCTCACGTGTAAATGACAATTTGAAATAAATATTAAGTTAGATTTAAGTATTTCTAAATGAACTATTTGTATGTGGACATCCTCACGCACGCTGATACCTGATTTATGACTAGGTTTCACATCACGACCGCCACCTGTTCATGCTTTCAGCAAATTCCGAGACAGCCTCTGTGGTCTAGTGGATAGTGCGCCAGGCCGGAGAATTGAAGGTCGGGGTTCGATCCACGGCGCGTTATACCAACCGATGTTAAAAGATGGTACTTGTTGTTACCCTGTCTGGCGATCGGCATTACAGGGATAAAGCACAGACTGTCGGTTCGGGAGACAGTATACTGTGTCTGAATGGGGTATTCATGTTAAACTGTGGCATGGTATTTAAGTAGGCTCGGTTTATAAAACCCTCATTAGTCCGGAATAGTACCAGGAGCCACCGAAACACCGACACACATGTCGCTATAATTGCAATAATCCAGTCTCCTACCCAGAGTTCCTTGCGGCCAGCCTAGCACCTCTGCCACAGACCAGGGACATATTACGATTCGTCACATCTTGTTCAAGATACGAGGGCTGGTCAAAAAGTTTTAAGCCTGACTAACTTTCAACTATTGGCCATAAGAAAGTGAACTAGTCAATAAGGAGATAAACCTACTGTGTTTTGAAATGTGATGTAGTCCCACTGTAGAGGAGATACCTCTTTCTTTTAATTGGGAACCGAGCGCATAGGGCAGGAGGGAAGGGAGGGCACCGGAAGAAATTAAGACAAGAAAAAACACGAAAAAATCGGTGAATGGTGCGGGTGCTAGGTCTCTGTCGGACACTCGCCACCCAAGAACATATCACAGATGTCAGGGGACTTAGCGGGCCAGTCCTATGTCCCTATGCCTTCTCGGCGGAGATAAACCGTGACGACTTGGGCACGATGTTGTCTGGCATTGTTGTCATGCAGTTCAAAGTTTCTATTGATAATTCTAGCGTATGGAGCAACGACAGTACGCAAAAGTTCAACATATGGCTGGCCAATCAAATGTCAACTCACAATAACCAAATCAGTTCGCCTGTCATGTGTGATATCGCCCTACACCATGCCACTACCGCCCCCCTACCGTTCATGGTCAAGAATTGTTGTCCGACAAACCTCTTGCTGTAACGTCGCCAACCACGTTTTCTGCAATTTGTGATTGGCGCACAGTCCGTCCCTGGTGTTGCCTCGCCTACCCAACTTTGCCGCCAAGGTGAGCTCTGAAGGCCACACCCTCACAGAACACCTTGCTTTCAGGAGGGCTGCATAAAGCCGGTTTTTAACCGTAAATGTTAAAATTCGCCTTCCTGGTATTGTTCGAAATTATCTTTTGATAACAGGAGCAGATTTGGATATATTGCGTAGTGCAATTAATATATATAATGAGACGATCTTGTCTTGGTGTCGCTTTTAAGTTCTCCCACGCTAAGGTATCATTGCACTCCATATTGTCTGTTCCGTCTCGGAGGCTTTTTTAAGCGTGTGCTTAGCTCAATTGCATTAGTGAGTTTCTCTATAGGCGCACACACTTTGGCGTCTGTGTACACGTTCATGCATGGTGTCAAAGTTCATTCTGATATGGCAACACCTCCTGTTGCACCTCAACCTCAACGAAAGCTGCATTCTAATGATTAGTTCCCCTATTATACCTCTGTAGTACATTGTTGTGACTGTTGCCACATCTAGGTTCGAGCATGCTTGGAGCGTTATCATTTGTGTACAGTATTTTATGACAATGAGGAACGAACAGCTGTCAGCTGTTGAGCTAGATCTTACCTTTGTCCATAAAATGCTCTATCAATGAACAGGTTAGGGCAGTCTGACTGTGGAAGATATTTACTTTATGAACATATCTAGATTATGTTAAAAAAGCAAGTCACGCAGCCCTATTCCGTGTGAAAATCAGTATCAGGGGAAAACACCCATTAGACCCGAGAAATGTATTGTGTAAAAAAAGATTTAAGTTTTAGAGGAGATACATACACATAAAAAAAGTTAACCACTCCTTAATATTATGTGTGATAATACACTACTTTAATGCTTAATGTTGATTGCAATACTAATTATGATATAAATGTTGTTTTGTCCGAATAATTTGACCGTTCATGCCTGATGGTGACGTCCCAATTCCCCGTGTTTTGCACGTGCATCATGCCTCCCTAGCACTCAGCAAAAGACAGTAAGTCCACACAGCAAATACTGGCACTGAAAACAGTGTAAACTGATTTGTGTAGTCGTCAAGTGTGTAAATGGCAAGGAGGAGATTATGTGAAGCACTTAGATGGAGAATCATCGGTATGCATGCCGCAGGGATGTCTTTCAAGGTGATTGGACGTCAACTGCGTTACCATTACTCAGTAATCAGCCGACTAGTACGAAAACAAGTCCAAACCAATTCAGTAAAGGGACTGCACTGTACAGAAATCCCTCCTGTGACGTCGGGACTTGAAAACAGGATATTACTGCACTAATCACTACTACAACGTCATCGGAGACTGCGATTACAATGGTTTGTTTGTTTGTTTGTTTGTTGTTTAACGCCGCACTAAGCAATACTCCAACTATATTACGGCGGTCTGTGACAGCTGTGACTGCATATTTGTCAAACAACGCCATTGCAACTCTACCATGGCCTCCAATGAGTCCCGATCTTAACCCCACAGAGCACATTTGGGACATTCTTGGGCGTAGAGTGCAGGCAATGGACCCTCCACCATACAATCCTGATCAATTTGGCAGCAGCTTTGCATCACGAATGGGCGCTATTCCCCCTTGAGATGATCCGACGTCTGACTGGAGGGATGAGGAGAAGGGTCGAGGCTGTCATCCGGGTACGCGGTGGCCCCACCTGTTATTAAACCTTTTGACACGCGAATGTCATTAATGGACGTTAATACACATTTTTATTCATTATGAGCAATAATTTATCGTTGCCCCAAATTAGCGGTGCAAAACTCATAGAGGGTGTTGTGTTGTTTTTAAAAACTGTACTGGTGTTTGGGCAACCATATCTCAATTAAAATTTCATTCTGGCTCAAAATTGTTTTAATTTTTTTGTTCTCAGATGATTCCTCTTTACAAACATAATGTTTCTCCAACTCTGTCCATTTTATCATTATCGTGATTCTTATTAACTATACAGAAAACTTCTGGGGGCTGCTTAACTATTTTTATGTGTATATATGTTAGTGTATCAACAGGTCAGAAAGACGCTTTCCTTCGGAAGTCCTAGAATGGGAGTATTCTGCCCCATCCATAAAACCATTGCAAGTGTTAAATCTGCATGACCTGATTGTGTCGGACGCTCATTAACTATTTGGGAATCAGTACATTGAAAGACCAATGGTTTATTTTTTTTATCTATTTCATTGGTCATTGGCCAAGTTAAAATGGGTTTTATTTACCAGTCATTAAACTATCAGTATCTAATGGGGACACTTAATGATTAGGATTTTGATTTATGTCCTTAAAGCTATTATGTCTTTTATTATCCGACAAATCCTTAAAAGCAAACAAGCACTTATTGCTGTTTGACATTTGTATGACTACTGCCATCAGTAGAACTGATTTCATCTTGTGAATCTTTTTTGAATGCTTCATTTTAAGAATTCATGAAAATGATTTATGAAAGATTGAATAGACATAATGGTAACTTATGAAACACATTATCTCAGGAACTAAATATGATCAATATAGCAATTTAGCTATTGTATGATTGGTGCGTTATAAAGGTTATACAATATAATATACCGTAAACGTATCCTACATAAACATTTACATATACACCATGAAAATATGTACACACGTTTGAACCAGAACACAGAAATACAAGCATACAGTCAAAATGCTACCTTGCCGGGCATCCGTTGTCTGTATGTGTAGTTTATAGAGTGATTAATGAACGGAGAAATGTATATTTAGTTTGATTCAAACAATGATATGAAATTATATTTGTTTCTGTAATTACATTACAATATTTCAGTCAAAATCCATACATAGAATTTACAAACAAATATATCATGACAGTTTGTTATGGTATCAGTAATTTGTATTTTTTATAACCTAAATTACTTTTTGTAAAATAACAGAAAAATAATGGACATGAACAAAAATCTATATTTATAATATTTGTAGTTTGCTTTTTTACTGTATTGTAGCGTGAAAACGTACAGAGATGCTTTTTTCATAGTTGACTATACACCAGCTAGAGCATGTCGTTGAATATAAATGATGTTTGTTTGTTGTTTAACGCCGCACTTAGCAATGTCCTAGCTAAATGGCGGCGGTCTGTAAATAATCGAGTTTGGGCCAGACAACCCAGTGATTAACATCATGAGCATCGATCCACGCAATTGAGATACGATGACATGCATCAACCAAGTCAGCGAGCCTGACCACCTGATCCCGTTAGTCGCCTCTTACGACAAGCATTGTTACCTTTTATGGCAAGCATGGGTTGCTGAAGGCCTATTCTACCCCGAATCTTCACGGGTCCTTGTATTTAACATTGATCTACTGTGTGACACCCACCACTGCCAACTGCCTGAACATTATCCTGTAGTCCTTACTGTTCAGCATTGTTGCTACTTCAGATGTTGAAAATGACGCATAAGATTACATCATGAAGTCCAGAGTCTATGTCCTCTTGACAGGCATCTGTCTCACATTCCTCAAATAACACAGATGAAAAAGGTTAAGTATACAGTTATCATTCCACTTTGTACACTTAATTAATTGTTCGCCGAACACGCTGGATGTTCTGAAAAGTATTAAATGTCAGAAAAATAAAGAATATAATTGTACGTCTTGAAGCAAATACGTGCTGGGGAAATAAATCAGTACCGCGGGGAGTCTCTTTGAAAGAACATGAAAAAAACCCTGTTGGATTGGGTCCTGCAATTAGCACAGAAAGTATCTCGCTCATGAGTGTTGTTTTATTGGACGGCTATTTTTAGCACGACATTTTTCAAATCGGACGAAGCAACATGTATGGTGGAATATGGCTCCAATGATTTACCATAATTGAAAGGAAATGTAACACTAGAATTGTTGAGGGTGTATAGTCACGTTTTGTCATAACCGACCACCAAGCAAAATATCCTTTACTTGTCCTTTGTCTTTAAATCAGTTTTTCACACAGGAAGGGAATGACCCTGCCACAGCCCAGATCATTCCACTGATTCGAGGCCATTATGAAACCCCGCCAAGCTACCTCCACACAGTCTTCCTTCTCCCCAGTGTACTTATTAAAGTGAGATGGTTCCCTGGCGTACCACGAGCTAAAGCTGAGAGGGGAGCCATCAGTCCACACGTAGTCGTCGTTGTCATGCATATCCCTCAGCCCTATCCAGTGTGGAGCTGCAACAGACGACTGTCTGAATGAGTATGGGAGGTAGGGGCTGGTTATCGGTTAGTTTTGGCTTTGTATGACCATGCTAATAATGGGAGACACCGCCCAAATTTTGACGCTAGGTGGCGCAAGTGTACTAGAGGTTATAAGCCACAACCGGAAGTCAGCTTTCAATGTGGCTCGTATCGTCGATTCGACCGACCGTGGTTGAATATGCCAAGATTCTAGTCTGTTCCGGGTTGCAAGAATAAGATTGGAGGATATAAATACCGCTTAGACCCTAGTCCCTGACCTACAATAAAAGTGGGCGTGGCCAGAGTTGATGTGACGACGAATCTGTTGGTGATGCTCACTTCACGGATGATGATTTCGTGGATACATTTAATTTATTAGGTTCGTAAAAATAGTATTGTTTTGTCTGTTGAGAATGATGAATAATGCATGATTTTCTTCCTGTTGTTTTACATTTTGACAAAGAAACGCGTTAAAGCAGAATGTGTTATAATAAATATTGAATAGCCAATATGTCAATGCTTCGGCTCTACTTGTAATTCGAGCTAAATGATTCGCAGCGCATTTTAATCGCGGAACCGTCACAGAGAATAACCTCTAGCACACGCACGCCCCTGGTGGATTAGTACCGCGGTACTCCCCATTATTGTCACCCATAGATATTTGCATCTTAGTACAGGAGTGACAATTAGGAGATAAACATGCTGTGTTTACAATGTAGAGCTAGTTTACCTGTAGATTTAACTGCGCTAAATTTAAATTTGGAACCTAACGCGCAGCAAATTCATTGTAGAATGTAGAACACAAAGGTCTAATGAATGCTCTGAAAACAGGGAGCATGAATTTGGAAAATACTCGATTTTGATTGGTCAGTGAGAGGTATCAATTCACAATAAAAACCACAGGACTGAAACAGCCGATTTGACGGCCGCATCACCGCGGAAGCTAACATTTTTAGAATAGTACTTCTTTTACAGTCATTGTCGGTAGGTATATTGAAATAATTAGGCTACAAAATTTGTTGCCGTAACTGCAGTATTCAAAGTATTTGACAATACATTTCGATCTGAAAACAAGATAAAAATCAAGTGAGTATTTTTCTTGTTTTGAGGACAACGGAGAGCTTGCTATTTGGCGCTTTTCTACATACGACTGTGACGTCATATCTTTGGCGTCACAATGAGCGATATGACGTCATAATGGTGACGCGCGGTGTCGAACGAAAAATCTTTGCAAGGCTTGCTTTAGTTTCTTTAGGGGTGCCCCCCTCATGTTAGCTAACGCTATTGACGTGCTACATGCTTTCAGTGTCTGTCATAAGTTCGAGTGAAGTATGACAGTGCAAACAAACTGCTTGATTCCATAAATTCGGAGTGGGACAACCTACTCATACACTGGACTCATCCAAGCTTCACTCAATGTATTTGCTGACACTAGCATGGTAGAATGGAGAAAAACATACTGCGTGTTTGTAGGCTGATGTAGGAAGATATATAAAAGTCACATGTACAAGTCAATCTACAGAAACAACATGAAGCGAAAAACTCCAAAAGAAATTGTCCCATGCTTGCTGTAAAAGGCGACCATGCTTGTCGTAAGAGGCGGCTAACGGGATCGGGTGGTCAGGCTCGCTGCCTTGGTTGATGCATGTCATCGATCCCAATTGCGTGGATCGATGCGAATGGTGTCAATCACTGGATTGTCTGGTCCATACTCGATTATTTAAAGACCACCATCATATAGTTGGAATATTGCTGAGTGCGGCGCTAAACAACAACAAACAAACTCCAAAGGAAATTAAACCCCTTCCACACACCATGCGTGTTGTTGTCTACTCATCCATCTTGTTGTGGTGGACAAACAAAACATAAAGGCACCGTGCCGTGCGACCTTAGGGGTGTGAGCGTCGCATGAGTCTATGTTAAAGAGTTACGAACGCCTTAGCCTTGTTACAGTGCATATATTTCATTACACTTTTTATATTTTTAACAAATTAAACTTAAACTAGGAAATTCTAAAATTCGAAAGTCGCTAGACCAGTATTTCTCGTTTTTATCACCACTGGTCGACCATGACGGCTGCTCCTTGGCAAGCTCATTCACGCGAACAGTAAATTACGTAATCATAGATAAAGTCGGCGCGTACGTCCGCCCCGGCCCTTGTTCTCTTGATAAATGTTTTGTTACCAGCTGGCGCAGGTTTTGACCACCATCCTAAACTGTAACTAAAATAAACTCTTCTCAGGCAATACTGATACCATTCTATTACCACCTGCTTTTGTGTAGTCAACTTTGACAGCCCAGGGCAGATAACAGAGACCGAAATTACAACTTCAAAGTAATTGTTAATGTGATAAGAGTAGAGCTGTGGGGGTATATAACTCCTTGGGTGTTGGTACTCAGACACTTGCTTGAATAAACCCTAAGGACCTCACAGCTCTCTTCTCTCTTGTTTCAAGGCTAGCTCCCAATAGCTAATTCCCCAAACCGAGGCCTGACAGTTATTGGGATCACCCAAAAGGCTGTCTTAATTGGTGGAGAATCCGGGTATAAGCCTGGCCAGTAATACTTTGTGAGTATTGTCTGACGAGTGGCATCTCGTCCAAAGTGGCAACCACCAGCTTTGGAATCATGGTAGGCAAAAAGAAGCTCTTTGCGACAGCAGACAGGGACAGCTAGCTGTGTTACCATAGGAGGGCGATTGTTTTTCTGACCTCGATGCTTTGCATGATAGAAGTGGTACAGAATACCATCACGTATGTCATACTCTTGAGCAAGGCCAGTTAGACCCTTGACTTGAACATCTGTATAGGTGGAAGGAATTTCACCTTTTTCAATGTAGTCCATGATTGGACAAAGGTCAGGGGATTTACGTTGCTTTTCTGCCAAGTCTTTATCATCAAGATCAGTTCCTATAGCAAAGACCATAGGGCCTGAAGGAGGATCGTGAGGACCCGACTTGTAGACAAAGTCTACAGATATAGAGGATGTTATGTCATCTCTACTGATATCATCTGATGAGACACTGTGTGAGTCAAGAGTGTCATTGTCAATGTTTGTATGCTTTGGAAAGTTGTTTTGTGGAGATGAGCATGATTTGGTTGAAGAGGAAGAAGACCTCAGTTGGCTGGAGGGACGAGACATGAATGGTAGTTTGGTGTGGACACTGTTGTTGGAGGATTTTGTAGCAATGGTGACCGACTTGTTTGTCTTCTTGTCAGTAGGTGGCATGGGACTTGGATGAGCATGGCTGGCTGGTTTGTGAGATAAGGCTGTTGAGGGTGTAGACCTCATATTGCCTGCTTTTGAATAAGCATATTGGCGAGTGAAGGAAGTCGAAGGTGTAGACCTCTTGTTGGCTGAGTGAGAATTAGCATGTTGGAGAGAAGAGGCAGTCGAGGGTGTAGGCCTCATGTTGCCTGCATTGGGATTGGCGTAATGGCAAGAATGAGCAGTCGAGGGTGTAGACCTCTTGTTGCCTGTATTGGGATTGGCATAATGGGAAGAATGGGCAGTCGAGGGTGTAGACCTCTTGTCGCACAGGGGTATTGTTACAGTGCATATATTTCATTACACTTTTTATATTTTTAACAAATTAAACTTAAACTAGGAAATTCTAAAATTCGAAAGTCGCTAGACCAGTATTTCTCGTTTTTATCACCACTGGTCGACCATGACGGCTGCTCCTTGGCAAGCTCATTCACGCGAACAGTAAATTACGTAATCATAGATAAAGTCGGCGCGTACGTCCGCCCCGGCCCTTGTTCTCTTGATAAATGTTTTGTTACCAGCTGGCGCAGGTTTTGACCACCATCCTAAACTGTAACTAAAATAAACTCTTCTCAGGCAATACTGATACCATTCTATTACCACCTGCTTTTGTGTAGTCAACTTTGACAGCCCAGGGCAGATAACAGAGACCGAAATTACAACTTCAAAGTAATTGTTAATGTGATAAGAGTGAGTGAGTGAGTATGGTTTTACGCCGCTTTTAGCAATATTCCAGCAATATCACGGCGGGGGACACCAGAAATGAGCTTCACACATTGTACCCATGTCGGGAATCGAACCCGGGTCTTCGGCGTGACGAGCGAACGCTTTAACCACTAGACTACCCGACCGCCCCTAATGTGATAAGAGTAGAGCTGTGGGGGTATATAACTCCTTGGGTGTTGGTCCTCAGACACTTGCTTGAATAAACCCTAAGGACCTCACAGCTCTCTTCTCTCTTGTTTCAAGGCTAGCTCCCAATAGCTAATTCCCCAAACCGAGGCCTGACAGTTATTGGGATCACCCAAAAGGCTGTCTTAGCCTAATACTGGCTTTGTGATGCGGGGCCCCAGAGCCTAAAGGACAAGAAAAAATCAGATTTGAATGTTCCCAGATTAACCCCTATTTTACAAACAAGAAATAGTGTATTTGGTGCATGGTGACTTACACTGGTACTTTTTAATGGCTGCCTGTCTCACTCTTGTATCCAGTTTAACAAGCCTGGCCCCATCCGAGCGGCACTGTTCAGAGGCTTGGTCCCAAGTCATATTTGTAGAATACTCCTTGATGTACATCTGCTCTTCCCCAGCCTGATATTCGACATAACCTTTTGGTGGAAACATCACACATTCATAGAAAGCCACAATAATAGATATGACTCCTCATCACCGCCAGGCCCTAAAAACCATTCCATAAGTTGGTCCTTTTTTAAGCATTCTAACTCAGGAGTTATTTTTTATGTCTAACACTTTTTGATAAAAGGCCACCAGTCGCTAGTTTTGCAAACCAGTACAGGCTGCCTGCTTTTGAAGTAGGCGTCATTGGTTTCAGTTGGTTTGGCAGAGTTGTGAAATTAGGTTGGAAATTGAAATAAAAATTAAGTGTAACTATATTTCGACAGTGATCTTTATCTGCCGATTAAAAATAAGAAAAACGTAATGAGAAAGAAAAGAAATCCTTTTTTACTGTATTGTCATGAGAAATGTATATGCCTATAGAAATATGTATAAAATCATTATATTGAAGCAAGTTCTTAAGCAATTATCAAAATTCCCAATGAATGAGAGAGTGTGTACAGTCCACTAGGCCATAAGAAATAACGTCACTCATAAGAATGTTTCTCAGATATTTATACAATAACCAGGTCACCTGGCTGTTTTCTGCTTCATTTGATAGTTGGCTACGGTGTGGATACAATCGAGTTCACTCGGCCCATGTCGCTTCCTACTTAGGATATGTACTGTTTTACAGACCAGCCGAGTGAGCGAGTAGAGACAAGGGAAGACAACTCAGAGCTCCAGATAAGCTTTTGGTGTTGTGGGTATTTTACCCATGCATTGTAAAATCATTGGGTATCAGTAATTCTACCTGCGTATTCAAATTTCTGTTACCCATTAGTTTTTACACATGTGGTTATTTAAGTTAAATATTTAAAAACTCTATTCATCTAGTCCCTGCAAACTGGTTTTCTTGTGGGTTCGAGAGCTTTATAGGACTCAAAAATACCACGATACTTCCACAAGAAAGTGTGATGGCAAATGATCATGATGTAACTGTCATCGTGGAGTTTGGCAAGGTTGACGGAATGCCCCTTTATAATTTCAAAATAAGTTGCTGATTTGCTAATCGAATACGCAGGGTTACTTCACAATATTTTGATGATACGCACAAGTTTTATTTTTGTAGCGTATCTGTAATGTTCGTTGCGTATTTGATACGCTTGGATTATATTTTACTGTGTATTTCTGCATTTCTGATGCGTATTTCACGCAGATTATCAGCTTATCTGGAGCTCTTAGACAACCCGGGCGATATTGATATCAAAACTAAATAAAGTCCCGGATTATCTTCCAAACAAAGCCACAAATTATTGATCACCCTGGTGATAAATCTGACCAAGATTTTTTAAATGTTAAACGAAGATCCTGTGGCACTTTAATTCTACAACGTTTATACTTACCATCTCCGACGCATGTAGGTGTGCGGTGATTGTCTCCTCTTGTACAGTTGTACACCATGTCGGCCACATCTCTCAGTTCCCATGCTGGAGACTGACATTCGGAAGCCATCTTTGTACCCACGATGACTGTACATCTGTCTGTAAATGTGTATAAATCTTCCTATTCATATATACTTTGGAATCGATCAAACATATTTTGTCTTGACATGAAACTTTTAATAGATAACGTCTTTATTGTTTGTAAGGACGTTTGAGCGCTACTCCTTGACCATTCATCAGGTGTATGACTTGATGGTAACACCATCTATTACACTTACGGGGAACAGTATATGTCAAGAGCATATGGTTTCATCTTCAAACACAATCTACCCGTTAACATCCGGGTTACCTTTGGTCTTCAGCAACCCATGCTTGTGATTTGTTTGATTTGGGCTGGGCTGGTCAGGCTCAGTGACATGGTTGATACATGACATCGTATCGAAATTGCGTAGTTTAATGCTTATGATGTCAAATAGAAGACTGTCTGGCCCAGGCTCGGTCATTTAAAGACCACTGTCATACAGCAGGATTAGTGCTGAGTCATCAAATTAAAAGCAATCGGACACCCACAGGTGTGACGGCTTCTCATAGATCTAAACTGTAACGTTACCCAAAAATCTACAATATGTGACATTTCTTCCAAAACAAATACACTGGCGTGTTCCACCTACCAAACAAACAGCCGGAGGCCCCACGTGTGTCGGACACAGTCGTGACTGACTCTGCACAGACGATCTCCGTTACTTCAACTCGGATGTGATGTTCCTGTGTGCAAAGCGTTATCTGTTAGTTCACAATGGTAACTCCTCTTTTCATATTGCATCATTTGCCTGCATTTTCTGTACATCAGTCTTCATGTTTACAACGATACCTGGGGGCACGGGTGGCCCAGCCGTCTGAGGCGCCGCGATTCGCTGTGCAGAGTTGCGTCCCTTGGGCACGCCAGAAACCTATGATTGTGGGTTCGAATCCCGGTTCGCCCTGATTATGTTTTTAGGTTTGTCAGCAGCATACCCGTGCTCGTGCGAAGTGGTAAACGTCTGAGACCTCCCACATTAAGCTGACACGCCGCGATATAACTGGAATACTGTTAAAAGCGGCGTTAAACCCAACTCACTCACTCACTCACTCACTACAACGATACCTAATTGAATTTTTGTACATGCACTTCCAGTATGACGAACTCAAAGCCCTTTGAAACTAGTTGGTTTTATCCGAAGTTTGATGTGTAATTTTTAATAACATTTATTGTGTCTCCTGGTGGGTTATAATTGGGTTCCTTACCAACTTCGTTAAATAATAGTACTGTTTTTAAAAACTAAGTCGATCTAATGTAACGCTACAATTGAGAGGTTTCGGTGTCATTTGATACAGATCAAGTTCTCTCCCATCACGGGGTCGTAAAGTAAGCTACTTATTCCCTCTTCCTTACATTGTTATAAGGTATTAATGCATCCCAAAAACATAAGAAAATTATAACAAAACCAACCTTTGAAATGATGGTTATCGTCATGATAGCTTTAATGTTGACGATGTTTTATTAAAAGGCGACAGGAAAGCTGAATTAACGCAAACATAAAGGGGAATCGATAGAGATATGACATTTCACATATATCATTGGGATTGTGTTGATGCTGTCGTTGTCATGCAATGAATCAGCAGAGACAGAACACATTTAATCAGGAGGAACAAACCACGGTGATGACAGAGAATCAGTGAAGGGATGAGTAATGGTCAAGAGTTCACGTTAGTTTTCCGATAATGGCATACATGAGTTCATGCACTGGTGTATTTGTTAACGAATCAAATTGATGTATCAGAACATGTGACAAAGACAGGTCAGGCTCGAACACTTTGCAAAGCTACCTTTGACACAAGCAGAGTAGTGCAAGCTTTTCAGCTGACCGAGGCTAATCTCCATCACTCTGTTTAACCACTCTGTGACGAGCCTACCCTTTGTGGTTTAGCAGTTGTATTTTGAGGGATGGACTGAAGCTGAGTCAACTTATATGAGTATCAAACCTTGTGATGCGTTCTTCCTTGTAGGTGTGTGTGTCAGTACATGAATGCTTCTGGGGACAGTTCAGAGTAACGGTCGATAGGTCACCCTCTCTTTGACTTAGAGATGCAGTAACTGGTTCTCTGACAATGATGACACGGAACGGCAATACGTTCAGGTAACAGTTGCAGGGTCCCTTTAAGCCCCAGCACGACTATATCAAACAATAACCTAGAGTATATTTAGCTTTATCATATGATGGGTGGATATATATATTAACGCATATATATATATATATATATATATATACATATAAATATATATGGATAAAAATGAAAATATAAAAGGTCAGGTAAGTACTACTTTCAGTGTTTGACCCGTGAAGATTCCGGGGTAGAATAGGTCTTCAGCAACCCATACTTATCGTAAAAGGTGACTATGCCTGTCGTAAATGTCGACTAACGGGATCGGGTGGTCAGGCTCGCTGACTTGGTTGATGCATGTCATCAATCCCAATTGCGTGGATCGATGCTCATGATATAAATCACCGGATTGTCTGGTCCAGACTCGATTATTAACAGACGGCCGTCATATAGCTGGACTATTGCTGAGTGCGGCGTAAAACAACAAACCAGCCAACTTTCAGTGTTTACAAACGAAGAACATTCAGCCATGACTGTCCGGATTATAAATTGCCATTCTGGTATACTTATACTTGTAGACCTCTGCGTCTTGGGGTCTTTTTAATGAAATAAAAACAGTTGGATTGGGCCGAAATAAATGTAAAATGGTATCTTGTTTCATTTTGTAACTGTGGGGGATATCTGACTGCATTTCGTAATTCCGTAACAAAACGTTATGACACGTCAGATAGATCCCTAAGAAACGTGACGTTTCATAAACTTGAGTGGCTTACCTTTTATAAAGGGCATTTACTTTTGGGGACCTACCGATGGTTGTCTGCGAAAGGCGATCACTGATCAAGTTAAAAAATTATCGATAGTCTATTGTCTTTCTGCTTATATGGTAGTTACGTCACTGTCTAAAAGACAGTGTTTCAGTTGAGACTATGGTGTCACTGTCGGACTGACACATCACTTGAAAATACTTATTTTGATGAAAGAAAAATTCTAATGACATTACATGATAAAGAGGTTATCACGCTCGTATATGTTGGGGAAGGTGAATATAGCCTAGGCTCGCTATATGCAATGCTGAGGCTATTCCTAATATCCCCCCAGAACCACAATCGCGTGATAACCTCTATACATTGTAAGAGAAATATTTTATCTCTAAATATATAATAAAGTATATATAAATGAAATTTTCCCATTCATAATTAAAAATGCAGTGACTGTCCCTATTCCATATTCAAATGTACAAGGTTAATAACATATTCCTGGTTTAACCTCCTTGTTAAAGTTCAAAGTTAAGTATTGATTTTTTTCAAACGCGATGTTAGTTTCTTAGGTATTTTCCTCTTATTTCTCACATCCATGTTGAAACACACATAACGACCTGAATCGGCCATTGCACATTGATAAACAAACTCACGAAAAAACACCATTTCGTCTCCAGACAGGATCGACCCTATTACGGAATGGTGTCCCACATAACGAAACAACGCTGGAAGCGCCCATACAATCTCCAACTGCAAATTTAATATACCGTTAAATAATTAAATATATAAAGTGACGTTTCCTTCGTACTCACGAGATGCGACAAACAAACTTCGTTCACCTAAGTATGTAATGAGCGTGACGTGAAGTATAGAAAATCAACTCATTCATATATATTATAAATGGCAACAACAGCGTGTGATTGGCTTAAACATCCAAACGGACACATGTGACGTCATGACTGATAACAGTATTTTGCTACAACAGCGTTGTCATACGCCGCAGCGGTATGTAAGTAGTCGAGACAAGACAAATCAGTGGTGGACAGGACGCTGGGGAGAGGAAAGGATACACTTGAAAATTATATTTGGCTAAAAAATGACAAAAGTTATCAAAACGTTAATAGGCTGAAAACAGTCGCTAAACACTTCAAATCTAAGGTACAAAACACAACTATGAGACCCGTATCAAATACATCACCATTGACTAACTATTGCTTGTTGGTTTCATTTCAGCCATCATCAAACATGGATGTATACTTTCTTTTGCCCGGCCGGCAGCTATATAATGAACCGCCCCATAATTTTAGTCGTCTCTTTCAACCAGCACAGATTATGTACCACCCCCCCCCCCCCCCCCCCCCCCCCATAATCCCCAATGTGGACGTTTTAATTGCGGCCTTTCAAAATTTTGGACCTTTGAAGATCCGGGTTAGAATAGGTCTTCAGCAACCCATGCTTTTGGTAAGAGGCGGCTAACTAGATCGGGTGGTCAGGCTCGCTTGGCTGATGCAGGTTATCGCATCCCAAATGCGTAGATCAATGCTCATGATATCAATCAGTGGATTGTCTGGTACAGACCCGATTATTTACAGATCGCAGTCATATAGCTGTAATATTTCTGAGTGTGGCGTTAAACAACAACCAAACAAAACCAATAAATCAAATACTAACACAACCAAGACACTGCTATACACGAAAACCGTAACAGTCTCATCAGGGTGGGACAGATATACACGATAACTATTGAAGACTTATATGGAATGATATGTGGTGAGAGCTTCTGACGTAATTACAAAATGGCATTACAGAAATAACACAACCAAAATTCTATTTCGAGTGGTTTCTGTAAACTTTTTTAGGAACAATTTTATTCGGCGATACAGCTGGTTGTATGGCTGTGGGAGTTAACATGAACTCAAACGTACGAAATATAATTGTGTTTAGATCAACATCCATTGGGGTTAAAACATGTGATAAAAAACTCCGACGTTCATACAGTTTGACCCTCACACTTCCCGGTTTCCTCGGTACATGTGCACTCTCTTTGGTATTAAACACTGTGTAATACCAGCTTATTGTTATTAAACGGGTGATCTCTTCACGGGCGAGTACTAAATACGTGTACTGAAGCTGAAATAACTGTTGGCCAGGTATGCACTGTGTTGTTACAATATTCGGCGATCGAAATTTTTTCATTTGTATTTATCATTTATCAAATTAATTGGGTTGTGGTCATTTAGCTTATCTGGTGCTCTGTATAATTTAAAACATCTACACCCGTGAAATCCGGGTTAGAATTTATTTTCAACAACCCGTGCTTGGCGTAAGAGTAAAATGAGGGGATCGGTTGATCATGCTCACTGACTTGCTTGATTCTTGGTCCTCGCACCCGACGCTCCGGGTTGTTGCTCGTAATGACTCACGACTGTTTTGTCTGATCCAGACTCGTTTAAAGATCGTCCTCATATAGCTAGATTGCGTCGTTAAACAACATTACCTCTCTCGCTTGGAATAGTTTTGTAAACATGTGCAAAGGTTGTGGATGCGGAATCTACAAAAGTAGATCAGTTATCATCAATTAATCTATGATTTCAATTTATAGTTGGCTCTAACCTTAGTTTTCAACAAAAGTTATCGTGCGAAATACATCTGTGGGTTTGAAAAGCAAATGGAATACGTAAATACAACATCAGAATGAGTAAATGAATATTGTTATGCGCCGCTGTCAGCTCTTTCACGGCGGTCTGCGAGTAATCGAATCTGGATTAGGGAAAACCAGTGCGTGGCAGCATAATTAAAGTCTCACACTATTGACATCGGCCAGCCCACACATTGTGATCATCCGATACTCAGTTGGACGACCTTGAAAAGCATCAGCAAAAAGAAGGAAACTAAAAGTAACGTAGAAATGCATGAGTGGTTTAATTACTTCAAAAATCTTTTCAGCGGTGATGATTCCACAAATAACTTCCAGTTGAACTCTTTTGATAATGATGAAACCTATTTCGCAACGGAAATATTAGATTCCCCAATCACGCCCAATCACAATAAATCTGCTATTCAAAATCTGAAAAACTTGAAAAGCCCTGGATTTGATAGATTTATAACAGAATTTTTTAAATACTCTCTTGATAATACCCTGTCGTATTTGGTAATATTATTTAATACAATAATGGATACCTCTTACTTTCCACAAGGTTGGACACTTGGAACTATCGTTCCAATTCACAAAAAAGACACAGTGACAGATGTTGAAAATTATAGGGGGATTACACTTACCAGTATATTCAGTAAGATATTTCTTAGCATTATTAATAAACGCTTGGTATTTTGGTCGGAAACACTTGATAAAATTGAGGAAGAGCAAGCGGGTTTCCGACAAGGTTACTCAACCACTGATCATATGTTTATCCTCCAGGCTCTTATAGATAGGTATATTCAACGTAAACGTGGACAATTGTACGCTATATTGGTAGACTTCTCTTAAGCATTCGATTCAGTCTGTAGAGATAAGTTATGGTATCTATTTAATTCACATGGTGTCAGTAATAAAATGGGTAAATTGTTATGTGGTATTTAAAAGGAGGTTAAATCATGTGTTAAACAAAACGGCATGTATTCAGATTCTTTTATCAGCCATACTGGTGTACTCCAAGGATGTGTATTAAGCCCTTTTTTGTTCTGTTTTTTTTTATTAATGAGCTTGTAAAAGGTTTACCAACTTTGATAAATCAGCTATAATTGTACTGTGATACGTGGAAACTTAATGTTAATCTAGATAAGACAAAAATTGTATTTAGCAAAGGAAATACGCTGTCAAAAAAAGAAAAGTGGTACTTTCGGGGACAATTACTTCAAACTGAAACCTCATATATTGGTGTAATATTTTCAAGTAAATTATCATGGAACCGACATATGAGCAATGCAGCAATCCAAGCTAAAAAGATGTTATTGGGAATTTTACAAACGTTTGAACATTTTAGCGAGTGTGCTTATAAATCTTTCTTCACAATTTTTGACACAAACATTACTCCTATTCTTTCCTGTGTTTCGGAAATATGGGATTTTGCAGAGGCTAAAGAAATTGAATCCGTACATTTATACGCACGCAAAAGATTTCTTGGTGTTAAACACAGTACTTCTAACGTAATGGTTTATGGTGAATGTGGTCGCATGCCCTTGCATATATATATAACACTACTTAAAAATAATAAGATATTGGTTAAAACTACTAAAAATGCCAGTAAGTAGATTGCCCAAAAAATGTTATAATATGATGCTATTATATGAGAAGAATGGAGATCAAAATTGGGCATACAATGTTAAATGTATACTGTATAAATGTGGGTATGGTTACATCTGGGACAACCAATGTTTCTTAGAGAATCATGCCATGTGCATATCGTAAATAAGGCAGACGCTTTTTGACATGTACTTTCAAACATAGAGATCTACTGTAGATGTTTCTAGCAAATGCGAATATTATTGATATTTTAAAATGCAAATATGCGCAGAAAAAATATTTAACTTATGTAAATATAAGAAAATGCAGAATTTCATTAACACAATTTAGATGTAGCTCACACTGGTTAATGGTTGAAGTTGGCAGTCACAAATAAATACCCAATTGTTTAATATTATGTAGACAATGTTCTTTAAATGTTGTCGAAGATGAATTTCATTTTCTACTTGTATGTTGTAAATATGATAATTTAAGGAAAAAATATATTGAACAAAAATACTTTGTACTTAAGGATTGACTGTGTATTTTTTTCGGTTCATTGATGTATGAACCGAAAAACCGATGTGCAAACTGTGTATGAATCGAAAAACCGATGTGCAAACTGTATGTATCCGCGTAGCGGATTCTTACAAAAGTTTGCACATCGGTTTTTCGATTCTTACCCCAATGAACCGAAACAAATATACAGTCAATGCTTATAATTAAATTCGACAACGTAAAACATGTTTTATCTACAATAGTTTAACCCAAAACAGTTGCATATATCCAAACAGACAAAAATGACGACATTGATAAACATTCCAGGTGTAGGAATACATACAGTGGCGTGACATGAATCAGGTGATCGTTTAATTCATGCACACAACTTGACACGCCTACACAGTCAGTAGCCAATCAACGGAGAGTGGGATTAAAACAATGTTCATTGGACCTGTCAATTAAGGCAAGAGGCGAAAAGAACTGCAACAGTCAGACTGTAACGAACCGGAAGAAAATATGTCCGAGGGAAGGCGGCTGTTTCAAATAACATGATCATTTACTGCGTGATTCACACATTACTCCCCTGATTACGGTAAACACAGTTGGAGAAATGCTAGTTATAAATGAAACCCGAAGACATGAAAGTTGAACCGGGGCGAGCGGGAAAAAAACGAGCCTGCACGTTTGCTGTTTCATTCATTCTCGGCCTTCGGTTTCAAAGGGTAGATTGGACAATGAATATTCATGAAAGTCGCTAAATGTCCTGTGCATGACGATACACGTGAGCAGAAAGGGAATTCCCTCGACTGTAATATTGGGATTCCGCGACATTCCGCAGTAATAAAAGTAGTGCACCGCGGTGGGCGTGGCTTATTTTTTTACATTCATTGGGAAATGAATACAATAACACGTGACCAATTCAGCTAATCAGAATGCAGGAATTTCCACGAACACAACGAAAATTTAATTATTTCCAAATAAACATAAGTTTATCTCTTTAATATCACATGTGAGCAAAACGGCTATACAAAATCTCTCTCTCTTTATATATCATGCCCTGTTATTAAGAAATGAATCCTTGTAACATTTCTGACCGCTTCCACATTGCCATGTATTCGGTACTATTGGCCTGTAGGCTTAGAGTTATATATGAATAAACTGATTGATTGATACTCAGTTTAGACGACAAAAAGCCGAGGCATGATCGAAACTTCTGACTTGTTCGACCGACCTCTTTAATTGCTATATATATATATATATATATATATATCAGACTTAATGGATCGGCTCCGTGGCTGGGTTGATTGGGTCCTATAGCCCGACTATTGCTGAGTGCGGCGTTGATCAAGAAACGAAAATTGTCCCGAACTTGTTGAATTCAAAACAAAAGCTCACATCGCGACGTTCCGAACCATCAAACAATTGATATAACATATAATCATAATGTTATAACTGATAGTTTAGTAATTAAAGTTTAAAAAGACAGCAACATAAAGAGAAGAAGAAGAAGAAGAAGAAGAAGAACAACAACAACAACAACAACACCAAAACAATAATAATAATAATATAAAAAGCATTAAAAAATAAACTAAACTAATAAACTAATAAAGAAATAACTAATTACATAACAATTCAAAATACCTTATAAGATGGACACTAACCTGGTCGTTTTCTTTAACAAATTCTTTTGCCTTCGAATTCCTGCTTCCAGTGTTCATATAACAAGCAATCATATACCCACCCCGGAGTGTGGTCCCGTCACACATTCCCGCCTTCACACACGTGTCTCTGCACGCGCTGATGCCGGAGGACAAAGTGATACCAGCAGCCTGCGAGCTACCCAGCACAATAAGCCACACAGCTTTAACAGCCTCCATCATGTCAGAAGACGGGGTCGGAGTTCCGCTGGACGACTGTTATCTGTGTGTTTCCTGTCTGCCTACATACCGAGTGACATGATGGGGATGTGCTTGTATCCGAACCCACGGCAGTGACTGTGCTGGAAACTTGGAAACAACTAAAGAGCTTTTTCTAAAAAAAACCCACAGCTTCATTTTAACTGAAACGTCTAAAATACATAAATTATGAACACATGTAGTGATTTATTGAGAAAAAGAGCATTAAAAAGACATTAACTTGCTGTAGTAATTTCTTCTTTTTACTAGTGAAGTTAAAGGTTTTAACGCTGCAGTCAATAATATTCCAGAAACATTACTTCCGTTTGTAAAAAACGGCTGGGCAAGAGAAACCAGTGGTTGATAGTGTGAGCAACTGTTCACGCCGCCAGGGCTCGATAATACGTACTGGGGACATAACGATTCCTCACGGGGATATTCAATATTTACTTTGTAATCAGCAACAATTCATAGCGTTTTGACGTTGGGAAAATGGGGTTTAATGTCGACTCTATTTCACTTATATGCCTTATTACAAGATACTTTTAAGACAGACAGAGCTCCACTTCAGTTTGCCCACAGAGCCGGGAGAGGAGTAGACTCTTACACTGTTAAACAACAATATATACAAACAATTTTGAAACTTCCAATTCATTTGTACGAATCTTGTTTGTTGGTTTCTCCTCTGCTTTTAATACCATACAGCCCCATCTTCTTGTACAAACATTATCAAACCTGTCTGTTGATTAAAAAATTAGATATTAAATGGATAGATTTTTTGCTTGTAAACAGACCAAACTTTGTGAATGTAAATGTATCAAATCATCTGTGACCTTTACATCTACTGTTGTTCGACTCGACGAGATTCTGGGTCTCATCGTGCTGTATTTCCTCCAGCAGAACCTCTAGATCTTGTTCAGCAAGATAACACTCGGTAACACACATCCGGTATTGTGTGAGATTCTGGGTCTCATCGTGCTGCATTTCCCCCAGCAGAACCTCTAGATCTTGTTCAGCAAGATAACACTCGGTAACACACAGCCGGTATTGTGTGAGATTCTGGGTCTCATCGTGCTGCATTTCCTCCAGCAGAACCTCTAGATCTTGTTCAGCAAGATAACACTCGGTAACACACAGCCGGTATTGTGTGAGATTCTGGGTCTCATCGTGCTGCATTTCCCCCAGCAGAACCTCTTGACCTTCTTCAGCAAGATAACACCCGGTAACAAACAGCCGGTATTGTGTGAGATTCTGGGTCTCATCGTGCTGCATTTCCTCCAGCAGAACCTCTAGATCTTGTTCAGCAAGATAACACCCGGTAACACACAGCCGGTATTGTGTGAGATTCTGGGTCTCATCGTGCTGCATTTCCTCCAGCAGAACCTCTAGACCTTGTTCAGCAAGATAACACCCGGTAACACACAGCCGGTATTGTGTGAGATTCTGGGTCTCATCGTGCTGCATTTCCCCCAGAAGAACCTCTAGACCTTGTTCAGCAAGATAACACTCGGTAACACACAGCCGGTATTGTGTGAGATTCCGGGTCTCATCGTGCTGCATTTCCCCCAGCAGAACCTCTTGACCTTGTTCAGCAAGATAACACCCGGTAACACACAGCCGGTATTGTGTGAGATTCTGGGTCTCATCGTGCTGCATTTCCCCCAGGAGAACCTCTAGACCTTGTTCAGCAAGATAACACCCGGTAACACACAGCCGGTATTGTGTGAGATTCTGGGTCTCATCGTGCTGCATTTCCTCCAGCAGAACCTCAAGACCTTGTTCAGCAAGATAACACCCGGTAACACACAGCCGGTATTGTGTGAGATTCTGGGTCTCATCGTGCTGCATTTCCCCCAGGAGAACCTCTAGACCTTGTTCAGCAAGATAACACCCGGTAACACACAGCCGGTATTGTGTGAGATTCTGGGTCTCATCGTGCTGCATTTCCCCCAGCAGAACCTCTAGATTTTGTTCAGCAAGATAACACTCGGTAACACACAGCCGGTATTGTGTGAGATTCTGGGTCTCATCGTGCTGCATTTCCCCCAGGAGAACCTCTAGATTTTGTTTAGCAAGATAACACTCGGTAACACACAGCCGGTATTGTGTGAGATTCTGGGTCTCATCGTGCTGCATTTCCCCCAGGAGAACCTCTAGACCTTGTTCAGCAAGATAACACTCGGTAACACACAGCCGGTATTGTGTGGGATTCTGGGTCTCATCGTGCTGCATTTCCCCCAGGAGAACCTCTAGACCTTGTTCAGCAAGATAACACTCGGTAACACACAGCCGGTATTGTGTGAGATTCTGGGTCTCATCGTGCTGCATTTCCTCCAGCAGAACCTCTAGACCTTGTTCAGCAAGATAACACCCGGTAACACGCAGCCGGTATTGTGTGAGATTTTCTTCAGGACAACAATGTCAACGTTTTTCCTTGGCCATCCCGATCACCTGACATGTCGCCATCGAACACCCGCAGGACCATGAAAGGCGCCAGATGACAGCAAGTTCTTCCAGTCTACAGTGAGTAGCTACTGCAGGGAATCTTCGGGTTTCTGATCATGTCATCGGGTGCCTGGTGGTCTATGTTCACAGCGTAGTCTCAGGGCGTTTAGTAACGCATACCAGTGCTGACTGACAAGTACGATTTGAGTGACTTTCTTATGTCCGTCCTTGTATGTAGTGTGTTGGACTACCGAACAAGGGTGTCATAATCTGCCCCTAGATTCTCTATTTTCAGTGATTTAGACTTGACACATTATGTTGTTGTGCTAATTGATGTTTTTTTAAAAAACAAAATTACCATCAAAGAATTGTCTTGCTCTGCGTAGTGTGAACGAACGGCTTTTTTGGCTTGGTTTCTTTTGACCATCAGTATATACACATCGCCCAGACAAGAACTGTTTTCAATTATAATACATCATTGTATTTATAGATAGTTCTTTAACTCGGAATCCAATACGATAGAATCATGAACTCAGCAATAACTCTATTATTTATATATTATCTGGCATCAAATACTACTTTGTCTTCTTCAATCCTTATCAATAGTCAACTACTCCCGGGTGTGCCCTTTTGTTAACATGTAACTGTATATGTGATCGAAACTAAGGAGCAAAAGAAACTATACCTCTCAGTTGATTTTATCATATGTTTAAGTTTCAATTGAAAATAACTTAAGTTAGCGAAATTATATAACAAAATGAAGTGTACTGGCGCTGTACAGCTCTCAAAGTATACTTCTATACGGTTCTATTTCAAAATATAATTTGATTTAAAACATTTAAAAAATTCAAAAATGCATTCGCATAATACACAGCAGTTGATGGTTATGTTGGACGTCTTATCTTAATTTGTTTTAAAACATTAAAAATGTAAAAAATGTATTCGCATAATAAACAACTGCTGATGGGTATCTTGGACATCTTACCTTTGAAATTCAATAAATTTGCTTTCTTCCGCACAAGAGGTTCAACATTTCAAACATGGCAGATTACTTTTTGCAAACTCTTGCAGGAAGGAGTGATGATTAAATATACATATGTATAATCAAATTTCACAACAGTTCTTTCAATTTACAACACATCTAAAATAAACTCGGTATACTTTCTTTCGCACGTCGGTTTAGATACATGCGCTACATTGAAACTTCTGCACATCATGAATAATGCACGTCGACAGATGACAGTTGGTGACTGATGAAGAACTAAATATACTGTATTTAATTAACAGTTGTCAAAACAGAACGGTATTGGTAGACTGTGGTGATAGAGAGTTGTATATTGCATATTGCTTGTTTGTTGTGTAACGCCGCAGCAGCAATATTCCAGCTATATGACGGCGGTCTGTAAATAATCGAGTCTGGACCAGACAATCAAGTGATTGACATCATGAGCATCGATCCCGTAATTGGGATACGATGACATATATCAACTAAGTCAGCGAGCCTGACCACCCGATCACGTTAGTCGCCTCTTACGACCAGCATATACGCTAATGCATACTGATTCATATTGCAGCTACAAACCAAGTTTAGACAAAAACTCCTCACTCGCTGCTGGTGGACACAGAAACGCAGCGCAGAAGTCACGATTGTGAAGGTGGGCGCCATGGCCGAGTCCATTCTATTTTTGGGGTTGGTGAGATGTGACGCATGCTCAAAGTTTAACCCACTTGGATATTACAAGACACTCCCGAGCAACACCTCTCAGCGGAGACTTGCATCACGTGAACTCGTCGAGATTCTGATTTATTGAAGGTGAAGGTGATACTCCAGATACTGAACTGGTATCATACTCACAATTTGAAAGCTAATATCACTTGATTTCGAGGCATTGATCGGGAATACAGCATACTTATCACCTCTTGGTAAAATTGGACTGATCCGCTCATGCATATTCAGAGGGGTAAGTCCTGTCTGGGTTTCTCTTGTGTTTCCAATAGTGTCGCCACAACGCAGCCGCACAACAGGTGACCCTACTGGCGCTCCTGCGTCGGTTGTTAGTAAGGGGTAAATGGCACGTGGTCCTGTTTACAGCTCATAGGTCACAATCAGGCGTTGGTCGCGGAGAGTAGGTGGGTGGGTGACAGTGTTTCGCAGCTTGACTCCTGATCGTTCCCAGGGCTTTGGCCCTGCCCCACACTCAAGCACGTGTTACATGTGGTGTCACCTCAAGCGCGTGACTTTCTGAACCCTGGATACCCGGTAGGATGAGATGGTAATGTGACGCAAGGTATTTTAGGTTGTATACTCCCCAGGGAGCTGAAAATGAAAATCAAGTACAGACTGATCCACTAACCTGGGTAATGATACCATATTACCATTAAGGGGAGAATGTTCGCGTGTAATAACTTTCCGATTTGTTCACAAGTGCATTATAGTGGTTCCCAATGATCTTTGGTCAATTGAAATTATATGACGTCACATTCATTGTTAAGAAATATACGATATGCCGTCATCCATTGTTCTTCAGTGACGCCTTCATACAGTTCATACATATTTGCTTCATTTTCTCCATTAAAACGACAATGATTAATATATCGTCCCTCGCCAAAGGCTGAGGATTAACATCACTCAT